GAATAGCTTGGAACTTCAAAGAACTTTTGTTCTTAGGCTGGGCCACCTCATATATTTCTGATACTGACCCTATCACAGGCAAGGCAAGTCCATTGGTTCCACTTTACAGTTGAGGGTCTGAAGTGCACAAACTAGCACAGAACAGTCCAATTCCTGGCCCAGAGTAAGCAACAGCTAAAGACAGAGGGCCCAAAACCTGTGCCCTTTCTACCCCACCACGTTAGAAACACTCCCAGTATTTTTGTCTTATAAATAATTCACTGAATGATACCCATTATCGACAAATGTCCAAAAGTCCTAATTTATTCATGAATTCTTGGTCTGAAAAAAGACGCTGCTAGTGACACCTACCCTGGCAGCCAAGTTGCTGAAATTTAGGAAGATGAGAAGAGATGGGCATGGGAACTGCATTAGGACTCCCAGCACTGCCTTCTTTCCTCTGTAAAGCCAGAGGTCTAAAGGACAATCCGGAGAACTCAATGGAACACTGAATTTCCATTGAATTTGAGACAGCAACTTATGGTTCTATTACTAATTACTATAAGCAAAGTTAAACTAGGAATGCACATTTATTTGGGAAATGGTTGCTATAATGGACTAGTGATTTCCTGTTTTCACATGTGAAATCCAGTTAAACTGTATACCATAGTACTATGTTATTTTGGTAATGCAGAGATAATTCTACACGTTTGCATTTTTGGTAGTTTTATTTTTACAAGTCAGATGTCATAAACATTCAAATAAGCCATCTTTTAAGAATATGTTTACAACATCAAAAAAAAATTAAGATTAAACAAAGATTCTCTAGCTTACCTGGGTTATGTATACTTATTCTGTACCTATTGGGATAGTAAACTTTAAAATAAGAAAACAGAGATCTCCCCTCCCTGTCTCCAAAGCAGTCAATATCAAACTGTTAAAAGGTGATTCAGTTCTATTTAAGGTGCCCTCGGGATTGAAATTGAACTGGCTTCACACTGTGTTTTTCTCTTGATTCTTTTTAGCCCCCAGAGAGTGATTGACATATCCTTAGAGAACTCTTTAGGTTGCGATCTATACTATCTATGTTATTCTTTCTTAGCTTATAGATATTTTTTAGCTCAGTGATTTGAAGCAAAAAGAGCCCTCATGTCATCCCACCCTGCCCCACCCCTGCCTCATTTTGTAACCCCATACCTAATGAGAGATGTTGCAAGTGGGATTATGTTATGCATATGAATGATAATGAGGTAGAAAGAAAGGTTGAGAACCAGTACTTCATGTCATTTGCTTTACATCTTTCTACCCTAATTTCATGCAGCAGGTATGCTAGTGGAGATGAGAGATAGCTGATGTACTCTTAGAGCTCATTGTATTATGGGTGAGACAGATGTAAACAATTATTTTATACTAATGTATATGCACTGGGTGCAATGGGAGGGATTAAAGCTTTCCTGAGTCATCTCAACGTTGAATTGAATCTTAGGGTTAAATAGGTATTTTCCAAGAAATCAAAGTTTTAGGAAAAGAAAGAACAATGTTTAAAAAGGCACAAAGTTTCAGTGTTTGGGGAACAAGGGTAATTTTGATATGGTTGAAATTAAGGATACAAGACTGGAAATACAGGCAGGACCAGAATCCTAGAGAACCATTTATTCTTGATATGATTTCAGTTCTAATGAAGAGCAAAATTTTAACAGCTGCAAAATGCAGATTTTGAAAAATTAATGTAAAAAAGATGAAATGTTTCCCCCAAAGGTGTGACTTTGCAGTTGATCCTACAAAGAGATGATATTTTACCAAAGACACAGTAGGAGAAGAATCATTAAGTTAGGAGTTTGCCAATAGCCTTTTTTTAATTTCCTCTAATCTCTTTAGCGTAGTTGTAATACTACATTTGAGCACATGTAAGATTTCAGTTAAGTCTAATGGCTATCCTTAATTATGAAAAATTCTGAGTAAAAAGGTAAAACAGAAGGTGAAAAAGAAGGGAATTTTTCTTTAACAAACACTTGCTATAGTACTTATTATAAGCCAGGCATACAGCTAGTATGTGATGGAGTCAATTTGAAATCTGCTGGTCTGGTCTGGTTCCCAAGTCTATATTCTAAACCACTTGTGGCTGCTATTTTTGATTTGGGTGTCCCAGCTCTTGGAGAATTGTTGGTAGAAGCTGAAGTCTAGGGATCTTCTTTTAGTGTGCCCTGATCCCCTGGAATTGTGTGTCAAGATGTTCATATGTTCTTTTTAAGGGAGATAGTCTATGGCTTTTACCTGCTTGTAAAAATAGTCTTCAAGGGAATGGGTTAGCACTACTGACCAAGAAGAACTTTGCTCGTCTTTTCTGTTGTTAAAAGGCTATAATTGGAATAAGGAGCAAGATATTTACAAGCCCAGGGCCTCCCTGGTAGTGCAGGGGGTTAAGCACCACACTGTGAAACAATCCGCAGCCTCTGCAGCATGAGTTCGATCCCCGGCCAGTCAGGGAGCAACCCACATGGCATAGCAGACCTCTCCTGACTCACCCTCGGCTCCCCTCAGCAGTGTAATTCCGTCAGTCTGCCTGTTCTGTTCCCCACTCTGTCTCTGGTGAATCCTCACAACCCCATCTTTAGCCTGTACCTCAGCTCTTGTATGCATAAATAAATAAATCTTAAAAAAAAGAGAGAGATTTACAAACCCATTCAGTCCTCTTGGGTAACATTATTCTAAATTAATTGTTTATCTACTTCTTCCTAGGAAGTTTTCCAAAAATATACATGCTAGATCCCAGATTTAGAAATTGTTACTCTTTTTTATAGATGAACCCCTGACATCTTGAAAACTCTCTCCAGATGATCCTACTACAAGTCTTTGGTAAAAACCACTAATATCCCTGGAGGAAAAGCATTATATTTTCTATATTCTTCCTTATATCTCAAGTATTTAGGATATAGTAAATATTAATGAATGTTTGGACCTTCCTGGGGGCACAGGGGTTAAAGTCTCAGTACTATCAAGCTATCACCAGCCACTGTGGCACTAGTTCGATCCCCAAAACTCACCCACGTGGCGCAACAGACCTCTTCTGTCTTGCCTGCTGCTCCCCTCAGCAGTGTATTTCATTAGATCCACCTGTTCTGCTCCCCACTCTGTCTCTGGTGAATCCACTCCATCCCACCCCCCACCCCCACACCTCTGGCCTAGACCTCAGTTCTTGTATGCATAAATAGATAAAATAAATCTTAAAAAATTTAATGAATGTTTGAATGGCACACAGTGAGAAACGACAGCTTTTCAATGACAGTAATGATAGTCACTCAAATTTCACAGAAGGCCTTTATATGACCCACACTAGCACATTCACACCATCCCAGTTTTTACTTCTAAATGCTCTTTATAAAGCCTGGCACTACCTTAATATCTTCTTGATGTCCTTATTTGAAATAAGACTACTTCGCTCATTGCTGAGTACCTAATTATTTAAAAACCTTTTCCAGAAACCAGTAGTTGGTATAAATGTTTTGAAGAGCTGCTCTGGTACATCCTAAATAATGTCTTAATGTCCCTCTTTCCTGAGGTTAGTTACTCTGTGTAAATTCATCACACTCAAGCTTTTTGATGATTCTGCCATCTCAGCATTTTCGGCATCAGATTATGGGTCAGACACTCTTTGGGAGTTGGTATTGAAAGGTTGAAAGCACAAGTTACAAGGAAAGTAAATTGATGGATTCTTCTGGGTAAACAACAGAAATGTAGACAACAGAATCTCTACTGTTGAGTAGACATAACCATACCAAATTATAGAGAAGGAAACAAAGGTGCGATTTAATTTAAGGTGGGGAAAGTAAATTGAAAATAAATACAAAGGAACTGGAAGTACTTCAGAAGGATGATATTTAGAATTCACAGTCAGAAGAGCTATGTTTCCTGTTGAAGTGTGGACATTTGCCCATAAAAGGGGGAAGGAGAAAAAAATGGTGCTAGATAAGTACTTTTTTTGCTTTTATTGTCTTTGAGCAAAACAAGAGAGAAAAAGACCTGGTTAATGATTTTAGAACTTGCCCAGAGAAATGTTTTCCTGCAGTGCCAAAGCATAGCTAGGACAGTCACTAGTGGCAGAAACCAGTGGGAAGTAGTGGTTTAGAGCAATTCTCCTCCTCTCCTTTTACAGTCTATGGTTCTGAAGTGTGCCACTGTAAACTCTGCCTATTTCTGAATATATACACCAATCATTGTTGCCCCTGAACACAAAAGTACTTATTGTAGCTTTTTAAAAACATATAAACAGCAGGCTCTGAATTGAACAGCATGGTAGATTCATGGTCTGCCTAAATCAAAAGCTTGTACTGTGAGAAGTTATTTATTTGCTTTTGCAAAGGTTTTTCCTTCTTATAATCATCAGATTATAAATTTTTTCCAACTATAGGACTTAAGCAAATAAGATCTTAAAAAACAAACCACTTTAAAATTAGTAACTTTAAAAAGATAAAGGATTATCAATTATCATGGGGGGAGGGAATCAAGGATTAAGTTGCTTTTGATCCTGTTTCCTCTGTGGATTAGCTTTGTGACCTCTGGCTGTTAATCTTTCTGAATCTCAGTTCCTTATCTATAAAATGAGAGGGGAGTGACTTCTATTTTGTTTGGGATAGTTACAATGAAGACTGGAAATATTAATAGATACTTCATAAGTGGTAGCGGCATTTACTGTTAGTAAACACAGAAATGTAAAATATTTGTATAGATTATTCTGGGTATAGAACTTTGCTTTGAATTCATCCCTTTAGGGGCTCATCCTGAGACAGGTATAAGAGTTGCAGGTTATCACCGTGGAGTGAGTAAGGATGTGAGTAAGTGACCATGAGTGAGTAAGGATGTGCTTGCAGTATACGGTTCTAGTGTGTCTTGATTTGGGGAGTTCTGCATTTTCTAAAAGAAGAAGGAAATGGGGTGATGTATTCATAGATACCTAACTGTTCTTTCCCTCCTACCTGGCTTTCTGTGATGTCCTAATTTTTTCCTTGTTACTTTCCTGGCAGGTGGCTGTTAAAAACAATATTGATGTCTTCTACTTCAGCTGCCTCATCCCACTGAATGTGCTTTTTGTAGAAGATGGCAAAATGGGTATGTCGTCTTGTTCTTCTGCCAGATACACTTTTGCCCTTCATCTCAGTAGCAGGCAGAGCATAGCCCCAGAAGTACAAGTTATTTTTAGGTTTTAAAAAATGGGGTAAGGCCATTCTAAAGCTCTTATAATTGCTAATTATTTATTTGCCTGAGTCACAGTTGATCTTGCTTTGCTTTTGGTCTCTAAATGTTGCTAAATCACAATGCCTATATCTAAATAATTCAGTCACTCCAGGATACAATGTAAGGGTTTAGTGACAAGTAGATGATTTGAATAGCACCTTGGATGTTTATTAGCTATGTCGCTATGGCAGGGTGCTTAACTTAGTTCTGAGTTTCAGTTTCCAAATTTGCAAAATAGAAACAAATTTTACAATAACTTAGATAATATATGCAAATTTAACACCTAGCTCTGTACTGTTTTTACTGTCTGCAGATAAGAATTCAATAAACCATTAGCACTGACCATGTGGTTGTTGATATTCTTGCTTCCCTTACTTATGAAATCACTGTATAATAAAACTGACATATTGATACATATAAATGCACTAGCACTTAATTGATTTGATTCCTACTATGGGTCTTTGAGTAGACAGGACAGATATGATGAAATTAAGGATTAGAAAGATCGCACTGTCACCTGAGCAGGAAAACAGTGGACAAAAAACTAAACCCTAGATGTAAACTCTCTTCCACTTTATCTTAGTGCTTCTGGTACGGAATTGTGTAAGCAGGAGTATAGCACTACTGCATAACTAAGAATTGGCTCTAGTCCCATGCTGCTGCTTGCTGTATAATAAGAGCCAGAACTCTAAAGGCGAAGTGATGTAAAGCATCAGAAATGAGAATAACTCTGACAGACTGTGCACATCCTTTCCCTCTGCTTCCCCATACAGAGCGCCAGGTCTTTCTTGCAACATGGAAGGATATTCCCAATGAAAATGAACTTCAGTTTCAGATTAAGGAATGCCATTTAAATGCTGGTGAGTAATGACTAAATTTCATTTTTATCCTAGTAACTCAAATTAGATTTTTGAAAACTTTTGTCTTTTCTTTATCTGCCTCTTCTTTCCACATCTGCCTTGTTTCTAGTGGATATGTAGTAGGAATATTACTTTCAAATGTATTTTCTAAAACTTGGGATGTTTTGATAGAGGTAGTAGGTTACTTACAAGATAACAAATTTAAGAGATAAAGTAGAATGGCTCAATCTACCCAGTTCTTCAGTGACTGAACATATGTTACTCATGTATCTTTTTAACCTTTTTTTTAAGGATTGTTTAACATTGGCTTACACCATTGTGTATGACTTAAGAGGTATGCATTTACAACTCATCAATAGCCATATTTCTTGAGTGAACACCCTATAAGCATGAGATAATTGAAGTGGCACATGAGGATATGCCCTCTCCCAAGAACTGAAAGTGCTACCTTCAATATTGGAGAAAAGGTGATTTTTTTTCTGAGATATTTATTTTTTTACTATACTAGAACATCAAAGAAGTAACCCCAAAGCACGAATTAACACTTCTTTTCACTGTAGTGTTCCTCAGGAGTGGAAGGAACCCTAAGCTGTTCAGAATCATGCTGATTTTGCCCAGTCTCTCTTTCTTTTTTGTTAGGTTGGTAGAAGACTTTATCAGTTTGAATGCAGTTGAGTCTAGGTGCTTGGTCACTGTCCCCAGTTTGTTCATGTGCCCATCATTCCGTCTTTTCAGCATGCTGCCTTCCTCCCACTGTAGCTGGAGCACAGCCCTGGGAGGAAGAGGCAGTATGGCGCTACACAAAGAAAAGGGAAAAAAAGCTTGCTGTTTGTCTCATTGCAGCTTTTTAATTTTAAGGGTGCTCTGATATTTATTTATCCTATACTTCAGATGATTCTTACAGGGCTTCTCCTGAACGCTTAAAGTGTTTAAGGCAATAGTCTTCTTTAATTTTCATTGTATTAACTAGTTAGTGATTCTCTTTGGGAGGACCACAAATCTAACTTCTTTCTAACATAGTCTAGATCTGTGTTTCTCATCCTGATCAGTTATGTATCATTAAACAAAGTTTTTACTGAATTTTCACACACACAAAAAAGATCAAATTGAGCTTCCTTTTGTGCCATATTCTAGGTGGATTACAGTGTTATCTGCCCCCTCTCTGAAACTCACTGGTCAGTTATCATGAAACTCATTTGGTGAATATGGGGGTATTGGGTAACTTCCACGGTATAAGCTGTTCTTCAGGAAGAACAGCTTATAGAGCAGAATCCATAGTGGCTAGTGGTGTTAAAGATATAGTCTCAATACACAGCTCAGGAGAGAACTTGCCCTTTGTTATAGTCACCCTGGTATCAGTTAGTCCTGTGGCTGCATTTCATATAGATGTTTTGGAGAACCCCTGTCCCTCAAGAATAGAGTTGTGGCTCTTTTAGCCCCTTTGGTCTTTTTTTTTTTTTTTTAAGGAATGTGATTTTTATTTATTTTTTTTAGATTTATTTATTTATACAAGCACTGGGTACAGACAGAAATGCGGGAGGGTGAGAGAATTCACCAGAGCCAGAGCGGAGAGCAGAATAGGCAGAGTGACGAAATACACTGCTGAGGGGAGCAGCGGGCGGCAGGAGAGGTCTGCGCGCCATGTGGGACCCTCGCCCGGAGGCTGGCGGGGATCAAACCGGTGCTACAGAGGCTGCGAGCAGCTTCGCAACCCAGCGCTCAACCACTGAGCCACGGGGGAGGCCCAAGCCCCTTTGGTCTTGGCCACAGAAACCAGAGGATGAAGGCAAGGTCACCATTTGGAAAGCATCACAATAAGACCCATGTCCTGTGGCCATGGCTCTGTTACCTTCAGAAGTTGACCTGTGGCTAGTATAGTTGCTCTCTTCCAAGCAGAAGAGCAGGTGTAATTGGAGCAAGACTGTAAGACAAGATACCATTGGGACTGGCCAAGTGAGGCACCAGAAAAGTGTACACTGCAGATTCAGGCATCATGTCCATGAAGGAACAACACTATAGCCCAAGAAGGCAGCTGTGGGAACATCCAGTGCATCTTGAGTCCAGTAATTAACCGCATAATAAATATATATATTTTTAAAGTTGGGTGGTTTATTAAAGATGAAGAATACAGGGTGCGGTATGCCTCATAGAGGTTCCCATTGCACGTTAGCACATTAAAAACTGAAAAGTCCTACATTGATGAAACCTGTTTAACTCAGCTCTAGGTGAATTTATTTGACTTTGGATTTAAAATAATAAAATACTTCTCATTAACATCTATGGAACACCAGTGTTCCTAAAAGATGATCTGAGAAACTGGCCTATAGAGAGCAGAGAAAGACCTGAGTAATTGGAGCTATGATTTTTGTTTCAGACATTCAGTATGAAAGAGACTTCTTTTTCAGAAAAGGAAATGCAAGTTTGGGTAAATGAGGGCTTTCGCCCTCCTTCCAGATTGGAGTTTTGAACCCTGGTGTGCCTTGGTGTCCATTTATGATTTTGCTAAAGAAGAGATGTCTGGGCCTTTCTCCCAGTGGGACCATGTCCTCTGATGAAGCCTGGAACAGTTTCTCAGCAAATTCAGTTTTGATAAATCCTGCCATGGCCTCATGCCAGTTCCTCCCTGCATTGGGTGCTCCAAATACCAACGAGCCAGTTTTCCAGTGACAAGCTGCTCTATTGTAGCGGAGCACATGGAGGGAAAAGCAGTCATTTCATTTTCTCCAGGACCCAAGGCCATTGCTTCCCACACTGACACTCTGCAAAACTTGCAAGATCTCTTCCTGCAACTCATCTTTCTAGCTCCTCTCCTGCCTCCATCCCAAAATCTAGAGTGCCCTAGCTTTTATATTTCCTTCCAGTCTTGAGGCCTCTATTAACATGAACAATTTCAGGTTTAGTGCCTTCTGATTCAACACCCTGGGTCTAGCTGGGAGCTAAAAATACCATCCTTTCCAGCTGATCTGCCCTAATCACAATAGCACCAACACTTTAAATAGCTTTTCTGTGCCAGAGTAGACATTTGACAGATGGAACTAACACTCTGAGGGCTGTAGGAAGTCACAGGCTCAAAGGACTTACCAACCTAGCATTGAGCTTTTACTTTTGCTCCTCCATTTCTTTCTAGAGAATAAAGATGAAAGAAGCCTTCTTTCCAAGCCTTCACAATTAAGCAGACTTTAATAGAAAGGTGTATATGATAGGGGTGCTTGTGGTACCACTGGTTGTATAAATAGTAGAAAATATTAGGACAGAAAGGCACTAACATATGGGTCTTCTTGCTTCCTAGCACTGGAAGGACTTGCTTCCTAGCACCAGTCATCTCTACTGGTGTCAAGAGATTTGAATCTATTTTGCATTTTACCATTATATTTACATGTGGAGTTAGAACGTGTCTGGTACCACTGCCTTATCTGTACAAATAGTTGTATCTAGTTGTATCTCCAGCCATATCAGAAAGGAATTCTTTTGGTCAACAATCTACAAACCTGTTTTTTAAATTGTTTATTACTTTTACACTCTGAAAAGCTCAGAGAAATGGCATATCTATTTCACTAGTTTAGGCACTGGTAAGGGGCAAATACTTCTAGCCTGGGGACTAGGTAAAGGTAAGTTCCGTTTCTTTGTTTTGTCTTGGTTCTCCATATCCTTTGGAACATTTCATAAGTAGAAACATTTTGCCAGTCAACACTTAAATATAGTTTGGTTGCTCAAATGGTTTAAAAAAAAAAAAGTGTTCTTTTCAGCAATCAGTGATTTTTGAGCTTGCTAATGTATACTACAACTGGACCCCAAATGCAAGTTCCCTCATTCCCGCTCTCTAATATGAGTCTATTCACTTGTATTGCTGCTGGAAGAGGTGCGACCTTAGCTGAAACAAAAGATAGAGGAGGACCACATCCATATTGCCTAACATTTTAGGCCCTAGACTCAGTGAGCCACATTTGGTGAAGAAAAATCAACCACGAGCAATGAATCTTGAAGCAAATGTAATCATATTTCATCATCTTTTTTACTCTATCCTTGGGGCAGATTGCAGGGTCTCATGCCTCACATGATATCAGCACAAACTCAAACAATTTACATTTTCAATCTCAAAGTCTCACAACTTTAAGATTCCATCATGTTTCCCAGGAGCTCAGGTGTGTAAAAAGCTGTATTTTGTCAATAAGTCTGTCTCAGTCTAGCTGGGAAACCTCCTTACTTCTGCCTCCTGTTGCCATTTTTAATAAGTACATTTATCTTTTGCCTTCGGCGCGCCCCCCAAGATCCTGGTATTGCTATGGGCTGCTGCCCCACCCAGTGTTACCAGTATTGTAAGAACAAGCCCTACCCAAAGTCTCTTTTCTGCCGCGGGGTCCCTGATGCCAAGATTCGCATCTTTGACCTGGGGCGGAAGAAGGCAAAAGTGGGTGAGTTCCCACTCTGTGGCCACATGGTATCAGATGAATATGAGCAGCTCTCCTCCGAAGCCCTGGAGGCTGCCCGTATTTATGCCAACAAGTACATGGTGAAAAGTTGTGGCAAAGATGGCTTCCACATCCGAGTGCAGCTCCACCCCTTCCATGTCATCCGCATCAACAAGATGCTGTCCTGTGCTGGGGCCGATAGGCTCCAGACAGGTATGCGGGGTGACTTTGGGAAGCCTCGGCACCGTGGCCAGGGTCCACGTTGGCCAAGCCATCATGTCCATCCGCACCAAGCTGCAGAATAAGGAGCATGTCATCGAGGCTTTGTGTAGGGCCAAGTTCAAGTTCCCTGGCCGCCAGAAAAATCCATATTTCCAAGAAGTGGGGCTTTACCAAGTTTAATGCAGATGAGTTTGAAGACATGGTAGCTGAAAAGTGGCTCATCCCAGATGGCTGTGGTGTCAAATACATCCCAAATCGAGGCCCCCTGGACAAGTGGCGGGCCCTGCACTCATAAGAGCAGAAGAGCTGCCCCCTTGTTAGTGACACAAATAAAAACCGCATTCTTAATCAAAAAAAAAAAATGTACATTTAGCGGAGTCTGATTACCCTACCATCTACACATCCCTAAGTTTAAACCTAATATTTAAGATTTATAAAAATTGACTCACATCCGTACATTATAGAGCCCTCCCTTCATTCAGTCTTCTTAGAGAAACCAAAGTACAGCCATTCTGTAGAAGCAGAGCCAGGTTATGGCCATATGCTTCCACATGTGTCAGCTTGTTTAGTCTACCTGTTTGCCATATTTTCTAATTCTGGGAGAAAGGGTGAGAGAGAGAGTGCGCTCGTGTGTGTGTGTGTGTGTGTGTGTGTGTGTGTGTGTGTGTGTGTGAGTGAGATTGTGTGATTGTATGCTTTCATTTCTTAGCCTATCATCTCTTGCATAGGTGGTAATATTACCATAAAAAGAAGTAGGAATCTGGGGTTTGATATATATGTATACATTCTAGTATGTGATTGTGCCTGTGCAACAAGGTGGTTTAAACAAAGGCTCCTACTGTGTGTATTTTCTGTTTCCTTGGAAATGGGCAAGAGCTTAGAAAGTTAGAATTGGTTTTTTTACAGCTTAAAGTAAGCCCCCATTTGTTAAAGAAGTCCTGTCAAAAGGCATTAGCCAAACTCCAGCTGGTGATGTTGCCTCGCAACCCAGTCTAAGCTACAAGGGCCCTTCATTTCAGGAACCAAGTGACAGCCAGAACTGCCTGACCCCCCAGAAAGTGATTAAAAACCATATTAAGGTCCCCTCCTCCAACAACTATCCTTTTGCACTCCTCAAAAGAATCAGATCTTAAGTTATCACTACTTTGCTTGGTATTAGTGAAAACCTTGGAAATAAGAGGGAAAGTAAATAATAACTAAGAGTGGTGAAAATATTTAATGAATGGCCTTTGTGCCTCACAACTATAAAATTTGAATATGAGCTATCACTGGTTTGAGTATGGGAGAAAGACATGAGGGTGATTAGCCCCCCAAATTGGCCTTACAACTAAGTAGATGGATCCTCAAATAATGTCATTTTGTTCAGTGTCATTTCATGATAACATTGATGGGGGAAAAAACCTAAATCAGCCAGTGTTAAGCAAAGTGATGTTATTTATTCAAGACCTACTTTGGTTATTCAGAGTTTGATTTAAAGATGTGGTTTCTAGGAACCTTTCTACAACATTAGGTGAACACTCACTGTGGACAGTTTTTAATGCCTATGACATCCTATATATATTGGCATCCCTAGTACCTGAGTGAGAGGCTTATTCCAAGTATTGATAACAGGTATCCGTCATGTCCCAGATACCGTGGGAAACAGTGAAGAAAAATTTGGGATCCCTGTGCTCAGAGAGCTTACTACCTGGGAGAGCAGAATGACTGTCTGTCATGTCAAGCTTTTCCTAGAGAGGACAATAGAATATGACAGATTTCTGTGTGGAGAAAATTTAGTTCCTGAAGTAGGCATGAGTAATTTGAATGCTCATCAAAAATGAACATAACAAACTGTCAACAAAAGATCTCTATTCTCTATCCTTAAAGTTTATTATCTCTAGTCTTAAGGTTTTTCTTCTGCAACATCATTCATAGTAAGAGAGAGTACAAGGGGAAAAAAATAACCTTTAATTCTGGAATATCAGGTCTTACCTCGATGAGGAGCATAAACACCAAATTGTTCTTACCCTGGGTTGGTACTATGAAAGCCCCCATATGCTCTTGTAGCAGTCACCTTGGCATAACTTGTTGAGAGAGTCTGTTTCGTTATTATTTGGGGGGCATGGTATTTTCTAAGAAATTATTTACCTATTTAAGAAAACTTGCATATTGGAAACTTAATGTTATACTGCAGTGTAGCTTCAGTTTAAAAAAAAAATCTTAAAACACTCTTGTTAATAAATTTTACTTACAAGATTTCTGTAACTCTTTTCCTTTTTTCTGCTTCTGGCATTTGAGACCAGGGTGACTTACAGAGAAATAAGTGTGACTCAGGAAGTAGTGATACAGATTTGATTGTCAGTCTGTAAATCTCTGTCACTGTGGTACATCCATAGACCCATTTTTTGTCTTTGTCCTTTTCAGAGCATTTTTACCTCCCTGGCACTTTAGTGTAGGATTATCAACTCCTAGACACCCACTGTAGTCTCCACAGATATTTCGTACTCTAATGCTTAGAGTTACCTTATTCTTTTTTCTGTCCTGAAATCTGACTGATACATAGGCTCTTCAAGAACCTTTTCCTTACCACGTGCTATGTGTGGAGAAGAGCTTCCTGAAATGGTGTGCTTGTGTGTCTGGTTGTACTTGTCAGGAGCTTAAGCACACAAGGCTAGTCAGCAGAGTTAGCATGCATTTATTTGATATTTTAACTGAAGGTGTTGGATTTTGAATTTGTATTTCTAGACACTGTTTCCAGCAAGCTGCAAAACAACAATGTTTATACTATTGCCAAGAGAAATGTGGAAGGGCAGGACATGCTGTACCAATCCCTGAAGCTCACTAATGGCATTTGGATTTTGGCCGAGCTACGCATCCAGCCAGGAAACCCCAATTATACGGTAAGGCCTTTCTCAGAATGGGTGAGATGAGTTTGAGCAGGAGGTAAGGTCACTTTTATTTTTTTTTAGCACCTTGTAAAGACACTTAAGACCACAGGTAGCCAAATCAAGCAGTCAATAAAAAAGTCGCTTGGTGCATCCATAGAAGCCCTTCTATTTGCATTCTCTGTTCCATCCAACAGGCACCAGGTCTCTGGTAGCAAGGAGTGTCTCATACTCCCCTGGTAAAGAGTCTCCTTCCCAAAACTTGGCAACTTCATCAAGACCAGTGAATGCTTCCTAGCCTATCTGTGCATATGATACTGTAACGATATGCTAAGAGGATTGCTTTACAAGCTCATTTCTAGAAGGTCTTCTTTTCTGCTTTGGGGGTTCATCATCTAAGGATATCAGTCATAGACACATGAGCCTTTTTTAGTGACGTTGTATAGCCTGAAATGCTTGTGAAAGGCAAGGCAAAATAGGACATACCTTTGGCAGCCTATTTATGGAAACTAGTTTGGATATTTTCCTTCAGTATCACACTGAGCTAAAAATAAAATTCTGATAATATTTTTAGGGTGGCAACAATTTCCTTGTTAAACAACAAAAATGGTTAACTCTAGGCAGTGGGCATTTGTGTGACAGAGGAAGCCAGATAGTCAGTAGATTAAGGGAGCTTTTTAGCCATTTAGGTAAGAAAAATCTGTGACCCCATTCTTTGCTTTTAACAGCTAAGTCTGTTTTCATTAGCAGACAGTAAGGGAATAGTACCACCCAGAACTGAAACTTCTTGGTGTTTTCCCCACTAGATCCCTCCCTTGTCATAGCTGGAAGAGCATTTGTGTATGTGAGCTGCTGTATCTTATCAAGCTAGATTTTTACCCAAGCATTTGTGAACTGAGAGGCTTCAGGCTTTCCCCATAAAGTATGCTTTCCTCCCACGCTCCTCCTCCACCATCATTCCCTTGTCTTTTTGGACAGACGCTACCCTGTCATTTACCTCAAGCTATCTAAGAAAGGAAAACCCCTCTGTGTGCTGTTCCTAGAGGGGCAGTTTTTACTGTAAAATCAAGGTCTTATAATTTCATTTATTTTCCTAACAATTGGCTCAAAGTGTGTGTGTGTGTTTTTATTTTTTAGTATTAATTATTTTATGGTATACAAACTTCCGGCTCATCAAGATTAGAGAAACTTGATTACCTTCAGTTTAAGATAGGGAAAACCAAGGTTAGGAGTGATTAGTGGGGCCTCCCTGGTGACGCAAGGGTTAAGACTCAACCTATGAAGCAATCCGCAGACACTGCAGCAGGAGTTTGATTCCTGGCCAGCCAGGGAGCAACCCACATTGCGCAGCAGACCTCTCCTGACTCGCCCGCTGCTCCCTTCAGCAATATACTTTGGTCAATCTGCCTGTTCTGTCCCCGACTCTGTCTCTGGTGAATCCTCTCACCTCCCCCACCCCACACCTCTGGCCTGTACCCCAGCTCTTGTATGCATAAATAAATAAGTCTTTTTAAAAAAAAATGATTAGCGACTCAGTCAAAATCACGTAACTTGTTGGTAGGCAAGTTGTGCTCAGAATTTGGGTATCACTTGACACTATCATATTCTTTCTATTCATTTTTTTAAAAAGATTTATTTTATTCATGCATACAAGAACCCGGGTATAGGCCAGATGTGCAAGAGGGTGAGAGGATTCACCAGAGACAGAAGGGGAGCAGAACAGGCAGACTGACTTGAAATACACTGCTGAGGGGAGCAGCGGGCGAGACAGAAGAGGTCTGCTGCGCCATGTGGGTATCTCGCCAGCTAGCCGGGATCAAACCAGCACTGCAGAGGCTGCAGACAGCTTCACAGAGCTGCACTCAACCTCCTGTGCCACCAGGGAAGGCCCCTTTCTATTCATTATAAGGTAGAGAATTTTTAGAAGAACCTCTCACTGCCCTAAATATAATGTAAAAAAAAATTTTTTTAGCTTTTAATTTTGAAATAAAGACTCACATAAAGTTTTTGAATGTTACATATCATTCCCAGTTTTCTTTCAGCCAGTTTTTCCCATTGGTAACATCTCACACCTATACCTATAGCCCTTTTTTTTTTTTTTTTTTCAAGATTTATTTATTTATACACACACTGGGTACAGTCAGAAGCACGGGAGGTGAGAGAATTCACCAGAGCCAGAGTGGAGAGCAGAACAGGCAGACTGACGAAGTACACTGCTGAGGGGAGCAGCAGGCACGGCAGGAGAGGTCTGCACGCCATTTGGGACCCTCGCCCTGCACCGGGGATCGAACCGGCGTTGCAGAGGCCACAGGCAGCTTCGCAGCCCAGCACTCAACCACTGTGCCACCAGGGAGGCTCCCTACAGTCCATTTTTGAAACAAGGAAATTGATTGTGGTATAATACTGTTAACTACACCTTATTCAGTTACAGGGGATGGGTGTAAATCAAAAGATGACACTTTGTTGAGGGAAGGGAACATACTAAGAATCCAGAGATTCTTCCTCTGTCCCTTCCCCTCTACCAAAGAGCGTCTGAAACTCTGAGTCCCTTCGAGACTCTCTGCAGTGGCAACCCTGGAATATTGGGCTTTTGTTGAGGAAGTTAACATTTTCTTAGTCATGAACAAAAAAAAATTAACATCCAACTAGTAGAACTTCAAGTATTATTACAAAAATGTAAAAATTAATACTGAACAGTATTTGGGAGAAGAGGAACTGCCCCTCTTTAATCTGCAAGTTAACTCCCATAAACTTTTCTTACTCTTCTGGTTTTCTCTCCTTTTCTGAACCCACATACTCTCCCACTAGAATTTTCCACAAATTGACAGTGGAGAGATTGTGGAGGAGGAGGTACAAGAACTGTCTCTATAGGGGGTTTTAAAGTCAGGGAAATGCCTGTAACTGCAGCTTTGTCCAAAGCAGAGAACTATTTTCTTTGCATATTTATATTCTTAAATTGATCAAAGTTTGGAGGGATTTTACATTTATCAGAGTTGTCTGCCTAATTAATATCAAGGAGCTATTTTGGAAATGCCTTTGAGACTAAATATTAAAACTATAAATGTTAGATGAGATTGGGTGCATTCAGGGTGGTATGGTCATAGACTTAAAGAGAAACGTAAACGGACCTCCATGGTGGCGCAGCGGTTGAGCGCTGGGTTGCAAAGCTGCCCACAGCCTCTGCAGCACTGGTTCGATCCCGGCCGCCGGTGCGAGGGTCCCACATGGTGCACAGACCTCTCCTGTCACCCGCTGCTCCCCTCAGCAGTGTATTTCATCTGTCTCTCTGTTCTGTTCCCCACTCTGGCTCTGGTGAATTCTCTCACCCTCCCGCGCTTCTGACTATACCCAGTGTTTGTATAAGTAAGTAAATAAATCTAAAAAAAAAGTTTCCATTTTAATCTGGTAATCATTAAACTAGAAGAAGTATGAATAGAGTAGTAGAAGTATCTAATTTGTCCATTTTTTTTTTTTTTTTTTTTTTTATAGAGGCATGCTTTATTTATTTAATTTATTTATTTATTTTGTTTGTTTGTTTATACATGCACTGGGTACAGTCAGAAGCGCGGGAGGGTGAGAGAATTCACCAGATCCAGAGCAGGGAGCAGAGCAGGCAGAAGGACCGAAGTACACTGCTGAGGGGAGCAGCGGGCGGCAGGAGAGGTCTGCGCGCCATGTGGAACCCTCCTCCGGTGGCCTGGGAGCAGCCGGGGATCGAACCGGCTCCGCGGAGGCTGCGGGCAGCTTCGCAACCCAGCGCTCAACCGCTGCGCCACCGGGGAGGCCCCTAATTTGTCCATTTTTAGCGATAGGAAAGATTAAGCTATTGACATGAATTGCTGTCCACTTTCACTAAGTAAATGTCTTTTGTAGTTACGCTCTCCTCAATATAATACAAAAAGGACTAGTACCTTGGACCTACCTAACTTAATATTTTATTTTACTTGATTGTACAGTCTCTTAAAATCAGGACTAAGATAGTCATCCTTGTTGGATTGAGAAACAGGCCAGTAGCTAAAATGACTATTGAAAATTAAGGGTTTTAGCTCTTCCCTTATCATTCCCATGACTCTAGCAAAACATATGAGCAGCTGTTCCCCTGCAGTTAGAGGCTTTGATGTTTTTAGTATGGATTATTTCCTAACCTTACAGACCAAATAGAATGTAGGTGGAAATACAGCACAACTTGAAATTAATTAAATTGAAAATTCTGAAACTCACAGTACCTAGTAACAGGATCTCTGCTTGTAATAGAACCTCCCTTCCCATTATATCAGAAAAAGGTTAGCTTTTTGAGATGCAATTGACACTGTAGTTTTAGGTATACAACATAATGGTTTGATATTTGTGTAAGAAAGAGGTTTTCTTGAACTGAATGTTTGGATACCTTTCCAGTGAATGCCAGCCTCCCTGCTAATATCTCTTCTTTTCCTCCTAACAGTTGTCGCTGAAGTGTAGAGCTCCTGAAGTCTCTCAGTACATCTATCAGGTCTACGACAGCATTTTGAAAAACTAATAAACTGGTCTGGTGCCCTCCGGCCACCCTGTGATCCGGTGCAAGCCAAGAACTCTTAAACTGGAAGAAATTGCATTGCCATGTAGAATCTGAACCCAAACACACTGAGGCCACCCACCAAGGTAGTGACTAGTCTAACCTGTGCTAACATTAGGGCACGATCTGTTGGATAGTTATAGCTTCCTGTGAACATTTGTAACCACTGCTTTAGTCACTTCCCACCTCTTGCCACCTGCTGCTATCTGTCTTACTTGTGGGCTTCTCCATACTGTGCCAACGACTGGCATTTTTGAGTGTAGTTTGATATTTTGTAATCGAAAGCTCATTTCAAAAGCAGAAAAAGACAAAAAATATTAAAGCAAGGAAAAGTGTCACTGAAACCTAAACTGCACTTTATTGTTTTATATTTTTGTACATATGAGAAATTGAGAGTTGTGTAACTGGTAGAACGTGTTAGAACAACTGACTGTCATTAAGCGCACAGTCCTGGAGGGCCAAGACAGCCACTTGGCCACCCTGGTAGGGCTTCTCTTGCATATGACAACCTGGACCCTTGTGGGTCATGTGCGTTTTCACTTTTTTCTCTCCAAACCCCTTTTCCTTGTGACTCCCCTTACTCCATCTCATTTCACTGCTCTGCAGTTGGGAATTATAGTCTTCCTTGAGTGATGTTTCAGGGTGCAGGAAATTGGACCTGTCAGCACCAAAGCTGAGAAAAATTGAAACTTACGACATCCTTTCCTCCGATCACCCGGTAACACACTGACTACGGAATGTGAGTAGGCCCGAGGAGCAGGAGCCAGAATGCCCTTCCTCTGCTCCTTCCCTGTATTTAATTTTCAGGTCCACTTCAGTTTTAGAGTTGAAACAGACTTTAGTAATTATCCAATCCTGTTTTTCTAAAAAGGAAAAAGATAAAAGGCAAAAAGAGTGTTACTGCCTGGGGCCTGTTTGCTAGCTGTTTAGTAGCAGTACTGGGGGACTGGGTCTCCTCTAAATCCCTATCAATGATGTTTTCACTGCAAGAGTCTCATTAATTTTCTTTTTCTCAATACCGTTCTGCCTTTTCTGTACCTGCTTCTTTGTGGCTTTTCTCATACTCCATATTGCTTTTGGCACTCCATTCATTGGCATCGGGCGGGAGCAGAGTAGCTTTCAATTACTTGAAGGTAAATCCAGATGCCAGAGTGAGGAGTAGCTAATGTTTCCCCATATGCTCCTGGAGCTGCAGTTCTTGAGACCAGCAGGGTAGGTACAGAGATGAAGTGAGCATAGAGATGTCACACATTCACTTTACCCCTGCAGCTCTCTGATCTGCTCTTTGCTTGTGTTACTTAGGCTCCATGGCAAATGAGATTGCCTCAGAGGGTTAAGCAGTTCTTGTCTTCTGTGAAAAGACTGGGAGACGTGAAATTCCCTCCCTTAATGCACTGGGTGTGGTTTGTCAAAGAATGCTTCATGCCTAAAACACCAGGTAGTGTTCACACTGCTTCATCTGTGGACACTTTTTTGCATTGCCTGGCACCGGTATTCAGGGTCCTGACCAACACTGCTCTTCTTGGATGCCCCTGCTCAAATCAGAGGCACTTCTGGGTCCAAAGCTTCAAGTTGGACTCAGACCTAAGAGTGAGTCCAAAAGGAGGAATCACTAGAAAACAAGATTAGAAACTATTCCCCATCCCTGTCATGCCTGAAGTGACCCTCATTCATACCAGTCACAAAACTTGGGGTAGGAGGGGCTCCCCAATGCAGTCTCTTAAACCTGGAGAATCTCTAAGAGAAGAATTTCTGGGGTAGGGGAAGGAATTGTCCTTGCCGGTGGGTGGAGAATAGGAAATAGCACAGGAATATGGGAAGTGGGTAGGTTGACAGTTATGTGGGGTGGAAAATCAGGTTGATAATTTTCCCTTGTTGGGAACTCATTCATGGAGTCCCTTGGCTACAAGCAGTGAAGAAGGTTCACACTACATACACAGTGTTCTCATCTCAAAGCAAATTGTAGTTCCAGGAGGAGTGTGTATCAAGGCACGCAGACAACCCAATTTGTACCAGAATATGTCCCTCTACCCCTGAAACTAGGCTTCTCTCAACCTTCCTCAGCAGTGACGGTAACAGCTGCTGCTCTCAGCTGATTTGACTGAGCCAATCCATGAACTCTTCTCTCCTTGGAGAGGCTGCCTCCTGTTATACCCCTAAGCAGTTAGGGAAGGATTCTGTTTCACAGAAGAGGACCTCCCCTGAAGAGACAGACAGCCTCTTGTCTCCACCACAACTTCCCTTTTGGCCCTGGTCAGCATAGCTGAATTGGGAAACTTGTGGAGATTGCCCTTGCATTCCCCTCTCCTCTGCCTCAGTATGTCTTTGTACCGTCAGCTGGTGTCATACAAAGGGCAAGGGAAGCACGCACACACCCAGAACTCTTGCTGGTCAGAGATTCCCTGAGTGTCTGTCCTCGCCCGAGCCTGTTCCGTGTGTCTGTGCTGTGAAGCGTGGGACTCTGGAGAGAAATGGGGCGGGGGGGTGGGGTGGGAGGTGGGTACGTGTTGCCCTAAGAATACTTACCATTCTTTTGTTGTTGGGATCTGTATTCTTGGGGAGGGTGGGGGTTGGGGGAAGCTTGACCTTGTGTCTTCGTCAATAAATTCTCATTTACACAAAGTTTGTGATATGTACTTTGTTCCCCATACTGGCTCTCTAGGGCAAAACCAAACTAGCTAGAGACAATAAACACACCGTTGAAACTTTTCTTTCGACTTAACCTGCGTCCCCATCCCTACCGCCAGGGATTTAGCCAGATGAAGCTCAGGTTGACCTGAGGAAGAATCCTATACTGCACTGAGGCTTTGGTAACCAAGCCCCAGATCACTGCCACTGCTGCCGCAGGCGTCGCTCCACAGGCAGGGAGTACTTGCAGGAGCTGATCCATCTTGCCTGGCAGGTCCCCTGCTGGGGCCCCAGGCAGATAGTCCCAGGGACAGAAGGTGCACAGCAGCTGCTCATCGGTTTCCTACTACTCAGGGCCTTTTGGTAATCTCTCAATTTATGAAAGCCTCTCTACCTGTTCCCAAATGGATGGAATTAATGCTGCTTTAAAGCAGGCTTCCCAAGGACTCAAGTCTAGTCACCTGATGGTGTGGGAGGCATGTAGCCCAGGTGTTAAGCAAGAGGGTCCCACTGCGGGGTTCTAACCACCTTCTGAAGTCTCTCTCAGCCTGGACCGGGGGAAAGCAACTGAGAGATCCAACTGCAACGTGCCCCGAATCGCCCCGCTAGGGTGGGTGTGGGTAAAGTGCACCGGGCTTGGCACTTGGGTGCTCAGAATAATAGTTGCTTTTATTACTTGGATGTCCAGATGCCATGAATGAACTAACTGCCTTTGGCAACTAGGATCTTTTTGGTTGTCTCCATGTTGCTGTGCTGCAGTTAGTCCAGACTTTAATAGGAATAACACTGGGAGGCGTGGAGTCTGGGTGGTCTTTGTTGAGGTTCAGGGACAAAGGTGAAGAGCGGCGAGCCTCACTGAGATCTGAGTTTGACAGCTAATGTCAGTTTAGCAAAGAAAATCCTTACTAGGAAATCTCTCAACTCTTGGGTGTACATTAATGTCCGCTAAGAGCTTTCAAAAAAGGCTAATGATTCTGCTCAGCCAGTCTGGGGTGGGGCCTGGGGAACCTGCAATTTAAAAACTCAATGAGTGTTTGTAATGCGTATACTACGGTTTTAAAAATCAAACTGCCCCATTTGCCCACCTACCTCTCCACAGTAATCCTCACGTTATTGTGGTAGTTAAAAAATGGTAAAGCACTTTCATGGACATGATTCCCGCCCATCCTGTGAACTGAGCAGTGGCGCATTAGCCCTGTTTTTCAGGTGAGATGTGGCAAAGCCACTCTTCTGACTCGGTCTGTGTCTTCCCCTTCCTTTCCACGCAAAGTTCTGTAAGAGGCCCTCCCTGGCTGTGCACACTGCCGGGCCAATAACCGACCTTGGTAAGCCCCCAAGATACTCCCAGCCGAGGTTGCACGGCCCTCTTGTACTTCCCAGAAAAGCATCTAGGAAATAGAGCTCAGGGACATTGTTTCTGAGACCAGAAAACAGCTGAGGACTCCCAGGTTGGAGCCTTCCTACTCCCACCTCATGCATTGATGCTTTTTCTGATTTTGCCTGGACCCAGATTTCTTTTTCCCTGCCACCCCCAGCTCCAGGAGGCAAGAGCCTGTTTATTTTAATACCTGGTGTGGCACTTGGGAAAGATCACACCTCCCCCGTTGTTACCCATTTCTATCTCCTGAACACTAATCCTAGAATCCCAACCAGCCCCCAGACATGTTATTAGCAACAAGGATGTTTCTTGAAAAGTTTCCGAGTTGGCTCAAAACTTGCCATCAGTTTCTCATTTAGCTTTTGCCCTGCCGTTCTTGATGCTGCCAACAGGAGAAGGCTAATTTGGGGGCTGGTTAGACCCAGATGGTCTTAACTTCCAAAAGTATCATTCTGAGGCATAACTGCCCCAACATTGCTTCTGAAAGAACTCTTCTCACAGGCCGGGCGCTGCCACTAGGTGGGAGGCAGTCAGATCTCAGATCTAGCCTCTGGCTTACCTTTCATTGTTTCCTTCATTCTCCGCTTATGGTCGGAGGCCCTGGGATCTGACCAGCAGCCTCTGGGGTCCTCAGCTGTGACGGAGCAGAATGTTCTTGATCCTTTCTGTCCCACTCCACCACATCTGGGCCTCACAGGCTGCAGGAGGGCCCACATGTCTACTCCCTAAACTCAGCTTGCGGCTCAGCCATCAGGCGCCCTCTGCTGAACCACAGCCATGTGAGGCTCAAGGTCAGGCAGACCTAGAACAAGCCTCTCCCAACTTTTTCACCAAGGCCATATCAATGATAGACAGTGAATAGACTCTTGGAGTATATGTTCTTAACCAAAAGTGACTCTCAGCAAATCAAAATGGCTTAAGGGAATCTTAAATTTAGGCAGTTTTTCAGTGTTATGGCTATTTGGTTTTTATATAAAAATAATGCTTTAAATGACCTACCACTGAAGGCCAGTATGAAATTTAATGATTAACCTGTGACTGTGTTCCTCCAGTACAACTAAGTTGAGGCTGAGAAGCCTGTTCCAAGGTATGAGGGTGAGCATGTGCTATTTCTTTTTTTTTTTTTTTTTTTAAGATTTTATGTATTTATACAAGCACTAGGTACAGTCAGAATCAGGGGAGGGTGAGAGGATTCACCAGAGCCAGAGCAGGGAGCAGAACAGGCAGACTGACGAAATACACTGCTGAGGGGAGCAGCGGGCAGCAGCAGGAGAGGACTACCATGCCATGTGGGACCCTAGCCAGCAGCGGGGGATCAAACCCGTGCTTCAGAGGCTGCGGGCAGATTCGCAGCCCAGCGATTAACCGCTGCGCCACCAAGGGAGGCCCACATGTGCTATTTCTTATCTCTAGTCCACCTTGGGCTGAAACAGAACCAGAATGGAGAGTCATGCCTGGAGTAACAGACATAAAGCAGGGACCCTTCAGTAGAGTAAGAATTAAAGATTTTCAGATGGAGGCAGTATAGTGCCTTGGACCATTTAGTCACGGCAGGAGGCTCTTGGCCACCCCATTGTAACCCCATGGGATCAGTAAATCTGATTTCTCCCCCCAGAGGAAACTCACCTTGGCCATACATTAGCTTCCAGCTACTCTCCTGGCCCTTCTCATACCCTTACCCCCTGGGAGTCCACCTAAAATAAAGGGAACCTCTCCTGAGGTTGCGGTAAGCCTCCTCTAAGAATGGCTGTGTGTCTAAAAAAGGCATGAAAAAGTAAAGGTCACATTTTGAAACTTCACAACAAGCTGGGCACCACATTATGGATTTTACTCACCGTAGCTCATTTATGCCCTGGGGACATAAGATCACATGTCCATTTTACAAATAAGGCAACAGGATGTGGAGAGTTCAAGTCATTTGCCTTCAGTCACAGAGTACCCTTCAGTCACCCAGCACGTGGTGGCCAGGGTTTAAATCCAGATCTGCCTGATTCCGAAGCCCAGACCCCATAATCACTGTGCGTTTGGTCTGGGCAGGAGAGGGAGGGGGAGCAATTGGGAAAGTGCCCAAAACACGGAGCACAAGGGAGGAGGAAAGCTAGGTTTGTGAAGTAGCCGAGCCCAGCAGCCCACAAAGAGAGGCCAGCCCACAAAGATCGAGGAGTAGATTGGGGGGGGGGTGGGTGCTGCATCTCAGTAAAAGCACTTGAGGGAACCCTCCTGGCTTCCTCTTCCCCCCACCCCCTTTCAGGCCAGCCCTGCAGGCATCTAAAATGCCCCTCTGACCAAGTTGCTGTCTGCTTCAAAATTCTTCAGTGCATTCCTAGGCAGCACAGGGCCAGTTCCAAACTCCCAGTTCCAAACTCCTTACTTTGGCAACCAAGGCCTTTGGGACTCGCCTCAGCCAACCTGTTGATCTCCAATTCTTCCAGTCCCCTCAAGCCTCTGTAGTGGACCCCAACTTCTCCTGCCTATAAGCCCACCTCTCCCACAGTCCCCAGCCCCCCCCCCCACTCCAGTTCTTTCTAGGTTCCTTCCTTGAAAGTTCCCTTCTCTGAATCCTCCACTGACTGTTTTTGGCCCATGCCTCTGCCCTCCCTAGGACCTTGACCTTGCCGCAGCACGCCTGAGCTCTGCACATCTGCTTCGGCTTCCCCCACTGCACTGAGCAACATGCCTCGTTCTCAGGGCCTGTCCAGCTAAAGACTCCCAACTTTTGCATTCCACATTTTGCACTTAAGTTACTCAGCCCTAGCTATCTCATCTGAAATAGAATCTACCTCAGAATTGTAAGGATTAAGCTTGAGGATGCCGGCAAAGATCAGCACGTTGTCCCATAGTCCACGCTCAAAAAAAAAAAAAAAAAATGTTAGCAGAGATAATGAATGATATTATGACTTATTTTCAAATAAATACGCGGGGGTTCTGAACTCTTGGCAGTTGCTGGTAGTTTCCGCGTCCACCAAAGGAGTTGGGAGAAGTAGTTTTCGCGTTGTGAAGGTCATTAGTTGGCAGGAACCAGCTCCGCTTTGCAAGAGCAGGTCAGCCTTCCGCGGCCGCGCGCGAGGCGAGGCCACCCGGCCGCTCCCCGGAGGCGGAGGGCGGCTGGGCGCGCCGAGGGCATCCCCCTCCCGCGCCCTTCCCTCCCCAGGAGCCGTCGCACTGGGCTGGGAGGACCAGGGGAGAGACCCAGAGGGGAGTTGGGGTGTCCGTGGGGCTAGGGATATAGAGTGAAGCAAAGGTTTTCGGGCCCCTCCGTTCCTTCCCCCCCACTCCAGGTGGGCGCTGAAGGCCCGGCGGGGAGCCAGGAGGAGAGCGAAGGTCGAGGCTGGCGAGGAAAGCAGCGCAGGGCCGCCCGAGGACATGGCGGGCTCAGGGACCCAGCGGAACGCCCGTCCGGGCACCCCCCCCCCCAGCTTTCCCGCACTGCTCCCTCCCTCCCCGGCGAGCGGGCGGCCGCTCCAGAGGCGAGCAGGGCTGGAGGCTCCTACCCCCGCCGCCGCCCGCACCTGTCCCCCGCGCCGCCCCTGAGCCCGCCCCGACTGGGCAGCCGGGGGCGCCCCCACCTCTCTCCCCCGGGCCGGGGAGCCGGGGGACAGCGCCGGAGCCCGGGGGGAGCGCGGCCCCGCCGGCCGGCCGGCCAGGGTTGGGGGCAGCTAGGACGGCCCCGGGTAAGCGGCGTGAGGCGGGGAGCGGGCGGGGCCGGGGCAGGGGTGGCGGGGAGAGGGGGTGCGGGTGGGGGGCAGGGCGAAGAGGGAGGAGGGGGCCAACTGGGTGGCGGGGAAGCGGCGCGGGGCAGCCACGTGAGAACTGGAGCGGGGTTGGGGGCGGGGTGGGGGGGCTGCCTTGCGAGGTGCTGGACGCGAGAGCAGGAGCGCAGGCCGGGCCCCGGCGTCTCACCCCCCACCCCCAAACTCCTACCAATCAGGTCATGGGGAGACCAGCATCTTCCGACGCCCCCACCCACCCACTCCCACATGAAGGTGGCGAGGACAGACAGCAGGCAGGCGTGTGACTCGGCCCACGAGACAGCCGAGCCCCATCCCTCAGTCTGGACCAGGGCTCAGGTGTCCAGGCTGAGGGGAGGGGACAAGAAGCAGACTTTGGCCCCGGTCTGTGTCCCCAGTCTCTTGCCAGACGCTGTCTGCAGACTCACTGCAGAGCGCAGGCCTTGGGGAGAGAGTGCTTAGGGGGTGGGCCCTGCTTCTTGAGACAGCTCCCTTCCACCCCCACCCAGCCAGGGATGTTGGATTAATCAACACTTAAACCCCGGCCCCTGCCTGAGAAGAGGGAGCAGGCACCAACCCCTCCGAGTCAGGGACAGGGCCACACTTGGGCCTTGTGGGTTCCAATAGGCTGTCCCCAGACTAGGGGCCTCTCTGGCACCCCCTCCCTGGCTCCAGCACTGTGCTAGGCTTTTATTTCCCTGCTCTTCCCCAGAAGGGCTTGGCTTCTGGGCGGGAAGTGTGATGTCCAGGAGAATGTGTAGATAGGTACGTCCTAGATGCCTCTAAGTCGCCACACCTGGAGAGAGTCGGGGACTTGTCTAGCAATCTTGCCCTCATTTTCTCCCCTAGGATGCCCCTTCCCCACCTGCTTGCGTTGGTTATGTAATTAACCCAGTGGATGCCCGCTGCCAAGCTGACAATGTCCAGGGATGCCCGAGGGGCTCAGGGTCTGGAGGGATTTATGGGGAAGAGGTCCTGGTTCTTGCCCCAGTTGGAAGCCCATAGAAGTAGATAAACACCTGTTGGGGAAAGGACACTGCTTGAGGCAGAAGAAATCAGGGTCTTGTGTTAGTGGAGAGCTCAGTTGACTATGACTCAGTTCCCTGAGTATCTGGTTTTAGCTTTAACTTTCAATAAAATGGGCAGATTCACACACACTTGAACTCGCTATAGACCTGTGAGCAACTGCACAGCGGCTAGTGACCCAGCCCAAGATTGCCAGGAGGCTTCACTGAGATCATGGAAGAATCATAGGTGAATGACGGCCACTATATACCGGGCACCCACTCAGTGCTAGCACTGAGCTTTATGTGCGTAACTTTGCAACACCCTTTGAAGTTTCTTGCCCAAGTCGCACTTTAGGTGGCAGAACTGGGAATCCAACCCTGGTGGGTGAGTCTCACTCCAAATCCTGCCGTTTATTTAGTATGCTGTATATGCACAGTATAGGTGTATGTCCAGTGGATTGGACACTCTGAACCGGGACACGCTGGGGCACATGTGAACTGTGCACACGTGGAGAGAGCATGCATGCACACACATGGGGATGCATGGCCCTGTGGGAGTCCAGTCAAGCCCTTTGCCCTGGACCCATTTAGCAGACACTGGTGTCATCCTCCTGCAAACAGTCCCCGGATAAGAGGTCTCAGGCTTGTACCAGCTTCTCGGGTCACCATCCCCAACAGAAGAGAAGGCACCTAGCTAAGAGATGTAATGTATTTAGATTTTTTTCTCAGAAATAGGGGCTGTTCACCCCATTTTAGATATGAGGCAAGTGTGGCTCAGATCGGGCAGGTGATTTGCCCACTGAAGAAACATCAGGGCTGGGCTCTCTCCCAGAGCTCTGAGGCCACTGACACTGAGCAGGCAAGGAACTCGTGAACCCATAGCAAGATTCTGCCTGCTCTGCACCCAGCCCTCTGGGCACCAGAGGATGCAGGGACTCAGACACAGCCCTGTGGGCACTCAGCCGCTAGAATTACTATACTTGGAAGCTGGAGAAAGATGAACTGCTGTTCCCATCAGTGTGACTTTGGGCACACTTCATATTCCTGAGGCTTCTGGCTAAAGTGGGGATACCTCTCCTTCAGGGTGTTGTGCTAAGGGTAGCCGCATGGGCATGCTAACTTAGAGTAAGTGATCAACAGGTGTTGCATTCCGGAGCCGAAGGGATTAATTGAGGGGCATTTAGAAATGGGGGGAGGGCATTTTTGGTCCTGGTGACTGGAGGCTTCAATTCGCTGTCAGGGTGCTGGCAGGCACCTCGTGGCAGCCAGGGACATGAAACGTCCTGCAGTGCTCAGACATTCCTGCCCAATTTTCTTTCCAGGAAATGCCAGAGCGCCTCTGCTGAGATACTGGCCTAGTCTCATCCCTCAACACCGAGACTCTAGGAGTTGCGGTCTTGTCCTGGGCTCCGTGGGAAGGCTGCGGTTGGAGCTTTTTCCACCCTGCCCTGCAGCCTGCCGTGGCTTGGGAGTCAGACCTGGCCAAAAGTCAGGTCACAGTATAAGTCAGGAAAGATGGCTTCCCACTGGTAGGGATAGACTGGGGGAAAACGGAGAGTTTGGGGCGGATCGCATAGGGGTTCTGGGAAAGGAAAGGCATTCCAAACAGCACTACCAGTTCAGCAAATCCCCCCAGGTGGAAAAGTGTGGGACATGTCCTGGAATAACCAGCTCACCAAACCCATCTCTTGTCTCCACAGTCCAGGTGGAGGCCACAGAGGGCCCAGGGCAAGCAGGGGCAGCAATGGTTGGTCCTGACGGTGGCTGAGCCCCCAGCCCCTGGAATATGCAGCCCGGGGGTGCCCCAGGCAGCGGTGAGGACGAGGTGGCGGAGCGGGGCGGGAGGCATGGTCTCCACCTACCGGGTGGCCGTGCTGGGGGCGCGAGGCGTGGGCAAGAGTGCCATCGTGCGCCAGTTCCTGTACAACGAGTTCAGCGAGGTCTGCGTGCCCACCACCGCCCGCCGCCTCTACCTGCCTGCTGTCGTCATGAACGGCCACGTGCACGACCTCCAGATCCTCGACTTCCCGCCCATCAGCGCCTTCCCTGTCAACACGCTCCAGGTAGGGAGGCAGTGGGGCGGTAGGGGAGTGGGGGGTGAAGGAGAGGCTGATCTTCAACCCTCTCCAGCCCCTAGCCCTATTCCAAGCCCCTGTGCTAGCCTTGAGAGCTCTGCGCTGCACTATGGGAAATCCTGCTTTGAGTCATACCTGGATTCCCATTCATTTGTGCTGTAGTTTATCCAGTAAATATTTGATGAACATTTGTATGCCGGGCTCATGATGGGCACTGGGGCAGAATGGTGCTTGCTTGAAACAGATGTGCAATTTGCTCTCAAGGAACCCAGTGTCAGGTGAGAAGACAAACAGGCAATTGCTACATGGTGTAAGTGTGGTGGAGGGGGAGCAGGTTGCTAAGGCAGCCCTAAGGGGACATCTCGCCTGCTCTGAGGTGTGTGAGTGGAGGGGGCCACCAGAGGCCACGTCTCAACTAAGTAGGATCAGGGCAGGTAGGAGGCAGTGGAGAGAAAGGCAGGTTAATATTCTGAACCTACTCTCTCTGGTGAATCCTCTCTCACACACTCCGCCACCCCGTCCCCCCGCACCTCTGGCTTACACCCCAGTTCTTGTATACATAAATAAATAAATCTTTAAAAAAAATCCTTTTAATATTCTGAACCTGCCATGGTCTCAGCCCCCTTTCTATATCCTCTGTAGAAGGGGCTGTGGAAGAAAAGGCTGTGACCTGGGCAGGTGTGTCCTTACTCTGGAGACCCCAGTCAAGTCTCCTAACCAAGGGTCTTGGCTCTCAGGTGATGCTCTGCCCTCAACCTCAGACTGGCCCTCTGGGCACTCCCCCCGCAGGATTTGGATTCAGATGCCCCAGCTCTGTGACTTACGGTGCTCATTTCCACCCCCAGACCCACTGCGCAGGGACCGAGGCCTTCTTCCCCCTCCATACCTCAGGCTTGAGAGGGATCCTGTAAGTGGGGAGGCTGAGCTCTAAGAGACATTTGCTCACCAAAGGAGGCTTTGAACACAGTGTTCAGAGGCTTCTCCATGAAGGTCAGGTGCAGTGCGGGAGACCCAAAGGCAGGGGCTATGGCTGGGGCAGTTCTAGTTACAAATACAATCTGGGGCTGGGCAGGGATTCAGGCTCAGCAGTGTGTTACCAACTCGTGCCAGTGTGCCAGCAACGCTCCTCTCTCCCATTCCAGGCAGGGGGTGAGGTCAGCACCAAAGACAAAAGCCCGATCCTCACACCCACCCACCCCTTGGAAACAGCGAGACTTGAACCAATCACTGTGTTGAGTGTAGGGCCAGAGCCTTCGAGTTCTCTTCCAGGGGGACATGATCAGTGGCATAAGTGGCTCAGAGTTTGCGCCAAGCCTGCACACTGAGGCCCCAAAATACACGTTTTGCTCTGTATTTATTTTGAATTTCAATTCAATTCAGACTTTGTCAAAAGGCACACCTGGAGAAATCTCGGTGTTCCCCACCCCCTTCACCCCATGCCGGCTCCACTCTCCATAACCCTTCTCCTTGCTTTTATCGTATTTCCAATGTTCCTTCACACAAATAAGAAAATGTAATCTTACTCCACCCACATCCTACATTATTAAACGAAAACACTCTCCTGCACCTTGAGCTTTTTTTTGTTTTGTTTTGTTTTTTGTTTGTTTTGACTTTATAACCTAGAGATGTTTCCAGGTCAGTATCTAGAGATCTTCATTCATCCCTCAAGGCTCATAGTAGTCCATTTGGAGAGATTTACCATGGAGTCCCCCCTTCTTGAATAAATGACTTGTTTCCAATCTTTTGCAATTTAAGACAAGGCCATAATGAATAGCCTTATACATAGTCTTTTCATACACAGGGAGGTGTATCTGTAGGATCGATTCCTAGAAACTGCTTTGCTAGGTCAAAAGGTAAATAAAACTGGATTTGGGAGGTGTTACCAGACTCCCCTCCCCTTCTATGAAGCTGCACATTTTGTGTCCCTGTGAAGAGTGTACATCAGCACTGCTTTCCCTAAAGTCTTGCCAGCAAAGCGTATGGGCAACTTTTAGATTTTTAAAAAATCTGACAGATGAGATATGCTAGTCTCCATGTAGTATTTATTTCCATCTCTGATTATGAATGAAGTTGAGCATCATTTCAATGTGTCTAAGGGCCTCTGCATTTCTTTTTCTGGCAGTTTATGCTCTTTGCCCACCTTTCTATAGAATTATTAACCTTCTTATTCCTCACAGACCCTGAGTTCTAGGCTTTCTAGGAATGTCCAATATTTCACTCCTGGAGCACAAGTAAGGGACTTTGAGCAAAGAGATACTAAGAAGGGACTTTGAAAGCCTCGACTCTAAAACCAAGAATCTTGACAGCCACCATTTTTAAGTAAAATACACTTTTTCCCAATGCCAGATGGGAGTGGCATTTCAGAGAAGGAAGCGGTGGTGAGAGGGCATATGCTCACTCACCAAAGGAGTGAGGAGTGAGCAGTAATGCCTGGCTGCCACATCGGTGGCTGAACCTCCCTTTGGCTTCTGAGTCTCTGGAACGTACTCAGTTTTCATTATTCCTTCTCTATCTGGACACTGCCGCGGGATGGTCCTTTACAATTGGAAAGCCTGATTAGAGCAAGCTGGAAGGAAAGCTGAGCTTTCTTGCTCCCTGCCTCCCTTCAATCAGGCGTGAAGGAACCACCCAACCAGTCAGGTGCCTTCCTCCTCTCCCCAGAGAGGAATGGGTGGGAGGCAGCCCTGAGGCCCCTTCCTGGAGGCTGCATGTTGGGGAGAGGTGGAGCTGTCACCCTTGAAGGTTGGCAGCTGTTTCCTCTCCCCTGCAGAGCTGGAAGATGGTAGCAGCCCCTTTGTGCTCTTTCCCCATCCCACCTGCTTCCACTAATCTCCACACCTTGCTCAAGATGGGGGAAGAACCCTGTGCACTGTGGCCCCAAGCTCCCCAGCAGAATGCAACCCTGTCCAGCAGAATGCAACCTTCTCCAGACCCAGAAGATAGTTAATGGTTTCCTCCTGTTTTAGATTTGTCTTCAGCATCCTCCCCCTGCACCAAAGTTAAAACTCAGCACAAAGAAAAGATGCCACATCATCTCCCTGGGGAGCCCCACTGCAGCAGCTTCTAAGCCTTTGAGTGGGAAAGTGCTTTTCTGGAGTCAGACTTAACTCGCCAGCACTGTCACCAATCTTCTCCTCTTTACTCCTCCTCTGAGAGGGAAAACCAGCTGTAGTCCTTCTTCAAGCCTGGCCCCCGCCACAACTCAGCGCATAGATTGATGCAGGAGACAAACCTGTGCCTCCTTAGGTTATACCTGGACCCTCCAGGGAGAAGACCCTAGTTTCCCTTGTCTTTGCAGCCCTATGCCCCTCACCCTCCAACTTCAGGGACCCCTGATTTCCATACACTGGCTGCCTTCACCTACTCTTGCAATTGCCATCTGCTGGCAGGGTAATTAATTAGCTAATTAATCTGTTAAAGCACCTTCTCTTTAGTGCACTCAGCCTTTCCAGGGGGCCTATTCATCTTAAGCTGCAGCTCCTCCCTTAGAATTTGCCAGAGCATTCAGGAACTTCCACCTTCCTGCAGCTGCCCTGGAGCACTGCTCCACATCAGCCCCCATTATGTACCCCTTCTCAATCTTTTTCTCATCAGGTCTCCTTTCAACCCTGAGGGCACGGTGGGGCCTAAAGAAGGGCATATCAGGTACCCCCTATAAGGGCAGTGTTACAGGCAGGAGGTGCATACAGCCAGCCTGCACCAAATGGGGTTCCGACCATGGACAGCTCACCAGTGTAGGTGGTTAGATTAAGGCCAGCATAGTGGGAGACTGTGTTGAGGGAGGAGAAGGAGGAATGTGAAATTGAGGAAAACCTGGCTCCAGCCCTCTCAGGAATTCACAGCAGAAGCGAGGAGCTGGGGACGGAAACAGCTCTAGCTAAGGTATTGATACTGGCACATCAGAAGTTTCTTAGAACACAGGAGATGAAGGTAAAAGTTCCCTGCTTGCAGGAAGGCATTGGAGCTGAGCCTTGGAAGAGAATTTCAGCAGATCCAATAACTAGATCAGGGCTAGGCTTTTGGAGGTACTTAATAAATACACTGTTGAACAAAGGACCGGGTGGATGGACCAAATGAGACAAGGCAGATGTCAGCTCCAGACAGTGCAATGACCCTGCAGGCCAGACAGTGTGACCTGCCCTATTCTGGCCCAGGGTGGGAAAGCTGCAGCACGGACCTCCCCCATTCTCCCCTGGACCTGGTCTCCTGGGGATGCGTGGCAGGCTTGGGGAGCAGTAGCAGGTAAGAGTGCTGCCAGCCTGTGGTTGGAGGTGGTTAGGGGCAAGCAGAGCCCTTCAAGCTTCTCTGACCTTGGCCCTGGGGGTCGGGGGATGTTGCAGGAATGGGCAGACACCTGCTGCAGGGGACTCCGGAGCGTCCACGCCTACATCTTGGTCTACGACATCTGCTGCTTTGACAGCTTTGAGTACGTCAAGACCATCCGCCAGCAGATCCTAGAGACCAGGTGAGGGGCAGTGGGGGCACAGTATATTGCACCTCAGTGGGCATCCCATTGCTATCCAGTTCCCATGAAAAGGGTACAGTGGTGGAATAGAGGTGAAGGACCCTCAGGATCCACACATACACTCCAGCAGGCCCACACCCACCACACTTTCCTGCTCCGCTTTCTCTTAACTCTGTGTGCATGCCTTACCAGAGGGTGGCTAGTCTCGCGCAGTGGTGAGAGCAGGGATTCTGGGGACAAGACTGCCAGAGCCGCTGGACAGCATGACTTTAGGCCAGTTAACATGTAAATCTAACTGGCCAACGTTCCTCATTTGTCAAGCTGGGTCACAATAGTACCCACCTCTTATCACTTATGACAGTAAGAGAATATCAAGTACCCCAAGGGCCTAGTGCCTCTCCTGGAACACAGGTAGGGGGTAGGGGTCCAGGCACAGCCTGCCCCTCCTGAAGTCCAGCGGCCGCGAGGCGGTGCAGCTCTGAGATTCCCACCTCGCCCCGCAGGGTGATCGGCACCTCAGAGACGCCCATCATCATCGTGGGCAACAAGCGGGACCTGCAGCGCGGACGCGTGATTCCGCGCTGGAACGTGTCACACCTGGTGCGCAAGACCTGGAAGTGCGGCTACGTGGAGTGCTCGGCCAAGTACAACTGGCACATCCTGCTGCTCTTCAGCGAGCTGCTCAAGAGCGTCGGCTGCGCTCGCTGCAAGCACGTGCACGCCGCCCTGCGCTTCCAGGGCGCGCTGCGCCGCAACCGCTGCGCCATCATGTGACGCCGCCCCGCGGGCTGCACCCCCAGAGGCCCGGGCGGGGCGCCTTCCCCACGGGACTGAGGGGCGGGATCGGCGGGAACTCACCCTGGGGGGCCGGGCCTGAGGCGCCCCCGCAGCCACGCGCCCCCCGCGACTGCCCAGGCCGCCCTCTCCCGCGCGGGGCTCCCCGGGGCGGCGCCACAGCCTTGGAGGATTGGGGGGTGCGCGTGTGGAAAAGGGCGGGGGTGGGGAGGTGCTGCCTTGGCCGGACCCCATCCATCTTCTCCTGAGAGTGTGTCAGTCACTGCCCCGCGTCCTCCGTTCCATTGTCTGTCTGCCAAACAAGCGTCCGTCGGTCCTTAGCCATCTTACCCCGCCTGTCCTCTCTGCGCCCTGCCCTCCGCCTCCAGCTCCGTTCACAGGGCTCTCTCCCCGCCCCGTCCCTTGTCGCAGATCCTGGCGGCTTCTCTGCGAGGCCAGCCCTCTGACCGGCAGCATCCCTGGCACAGGGCCGAGAGGTGCGGGTGCCCCGAGGACCACAGCCGGGGTCTGAGGGTTGAGGTCCCAGATCAGCCAGGGGGAGAAGACTGAGCTCTCCCCCTTTCAGGGAGACCTCCCCGCCCAGCAGACCCCAGAGACACAACAACCTACCTTCCAGCCTTAACTCTGACTGTCTGTCCCTGCTGGGTGCCCCTTAACCCCTTCCTAGCCCCAAAGCCAGATCATCCACTGGATTAAAACTTTTTTTTTTTTTTTGACAGTGTGGAGAGGGAACCCCCCAAAGGATAGATTTATTTCCATGGTGACAGGTTCCGGTCCTCTATTCCCTCTTGTATTGGGTGGTCTGCCAGATTGGGGGATGTTGGGTTTGGGGTCTGGTGTGGGGGGAGGGTGGTGCCCAGGGGGAGGATCTCTGTCTCCCCACCCCACCCCAATCTGACTGCCCCAGATGCTACCTGCCTTGAATCTCAGATTACCTTGATTAATCTGGGGGCGGGGCAGAGCCAGACAAATCATTATGAGGACCCCTGTGCTTGGAGGAGACACTCCTGCATCCCCACCTCTAGATGGAGGCCCTCAGGATCTGACACCCCCTCATCCCAACACCAGATGGCCCATGCCCTGATTCACTCCACCCCATTTTCTCTGGCCGCCTGGCCGGGTTTCTACCTCTCGTCACCGGAGCTGATCACTGTCAGTTTTGTACCGATTTAGAAATAACAAAAAATAATGAAGCTACTAGGAGTGGCGTGAGGGATTTCTGGGGGACTTACAGAGAGAGGGAGAAATGGTGTGTGTCCCCTGGCCACGTTCTCCTTGAAGCTGAGCCCTCAGCCCTGGTCTGGTGGGAGGACGACAGGGTCCCTTGTTAGAAGAGGACAGAGCAACCCAGACTAGGCCATTAGGGAGCCCAGTTGGCGATGGAGGGCAGCCCGGGTGAGGGGTGATGGGTAGGGAATTTATCATCCAGACCAGTGTGAGAGGGAATTCATGATTCTCTCTTCTGCCTCCCCAGCTGATTCCCCCCTCCATCCACTGGGGTGAGCACAGCCCTGCAGGACTGCTTGAGCCTTGGGCCGTCCTGTACTCCTGGGATCTAGTCCCTGCTGTGCTGCAGACTTTGGGCAAGTGACCTGCCCTCTCTGAGCCTCCCTCTGAAACAGAGGAAGTGGCTCCCCTTCCCCACACTTCGAGGTGGCTGGGAGGGTAAGGAAGAGGGCCTGCCCCCTGGCTCACCAGGGAGATGGGGTGAGCGATGGCAGCATCTCACTTGCTCCATCACTGTCACCCCCAGTTCTGAGGCACTTGAGGTGGGGTGGGGGCCCCGGGCCTCTGGCTGCCCCTGTGGGAGCCATTGGAATGTACTGCCTGGCTGGCCCCTTACCCACTCCACTGTACCCCAGGTCATTGATTTGGATTCCTTTCACCCCCATTCTGAGTCTCTGTCCTTCTCCTTGCCCCACCCCCCCGGTTTCCCACCACAGGGTCTGGAAGTATGTGTGACGCCCGTTGCGCTGTGATCGGAGTCAGATTAAAAATCAGGGAGTGTTTTCCCTCCTTTCTGTACCAAGGTGTTGGCTCCATTTTTGACAGTAGGAGGGAAGGGGTCCCCTAAAGGGCTGCCTACTGATCCTGGATGTGGAAGGAAGGAAAAGGCAATCATTCGGCCTGCCTTCCAAGCCCAGGTCAACCAGAACTCAACTGCCCACCTGCCTCTGAACCGTTCCTCCAAGTCTTCACAACCCTGTTACTCTGGAAAACTCGTAACTGGACTCAGTGCCGGTTTCTCCTTCTGTGTCTTCTTTCCACAAGTGGCGTTGCCCCTTGGCTATAACTTCGTGCACAGAGATACGTTAACAGTGTTCTCAACTGTCCACTCAGCTCTTGCGTGATGTCAGCTCCCAACCCCCAGAGCAGAGCTTTGAAGCCCTGCGGGAACCTGTTAGGCGGCCAGCTTCCTGTCCATGGTGCTGATGCACGCGCCGCTTCTCAGAGAGGCGGCCTGCCTGGCCAGGTTGCTGAGCTTCAAGAGAGGAAGCCTCTCTGGCTCCCAGGCCCCACTCCCTTTTCTTGCCGTGGGAAAATGTTTGAAGTTACGCCTCCCTGCACCAGCACCGTCCTAGAGTGAGGGGCTCAAGAAGATGGAGGTTTGAGACAGACCCACATATGTTTAATAACTTCTAGGAGTTGTGGACATGGTTAGAGGCCAAGGGTTTGGGGAGCTGTTCTGGAGGAGGACAACAAGATAGGGGGTGGTTCCACGGCTCCTGGAGTTAGAGGTGGAGCAATGGGTTGCTGCTTTGCTCAGCTGAGCAGACTGAGTCCATGTCTGTCTTCTGATCCCCTCCTGACCAAGGCTCTGCATTGAGGGAGGGGTCATCCCTTCTGTCCCTGCAGCTGGGAGTCCAATGGCTACATAGGCATTTTTCTCCCTCCCCCCACAGTCACAGACTTGGGGGTGAAGAGCCCCTCAGACCCAGGACTCCTCCTCAGGTGGGAGTGGGGCTTGATCAAGCTGCTGAGGCCCCAGGCCCTCCGAAGGCCAAGGAGTGCTCTCCAGTGAGGTGACTGGCTCTTTCCTCTCCTTTCCTTCCTCCTGCCCTGCTGAGGCTCCACCCACCACAGCTGCCTCCCCTCCCTTGTTGCCCAGCGCTGCTCTCACTAGTCTGCCCCTGGGGGGCACCTTGGCTGAACCCAGGTGGAGGTAGGCCAGCGGCTTGGGGATCCGTGAAGGCCGCTTCTCAGGCCTGTGGTCTCTCCTGGGCCGAATCCTGGGTCTCAACTTCAACTTGTAGATGGAGGGAACTCTTTGTGGCTTCCGGAGTGTTCTCTTGCCCTTGCTTGGACATGCCTTGGCTTTGTTGGAACTGGGCTCTGAGGGTGAAGGTGTGGGGCTCTCTGGGTTAGCAGACACAGGAAGGGCGGAGCAGCCCTGCCGTCCAGGAGGTGGTGTCCTCTTGCAGATGCCCTTGGCACCCAGGCACGCCTTTCTGCTTGTTTCACTTTCTCTGGTTCCCGGTTTCCCTTTTGGGCTGCCCGGGCCTGTAGTAACAGCCAGCTTGGGGGAGCCCACAGGAACTGCCTTCCAGGCCCCTAGATCCACTTTAAGGAGGGGCGGGGGACCCCGAGCCAGTTCTTGGATAACTTTGTCATAAGGACCCCCAGGCTCAGGCCACCGCCCACCCAGGCTGGGCACATAAACTCCGCTTCGAGGGATGACCCCAGTCCCTGTGCTCTGGGGACGGGTACCCCCCACCTCCAGCAGCTTCATGTTGGCCAAAAGCTCCTCCTCAAGGCTGTGGTAGATGGCTTGCTCCTTGGTCCTGCCCAGGGACAGGGGAGGGGATTTCCCCTCCTGCTCCTGTGCGCCCAGACCCTGGCGCTCTCCAGACTCTCCTGTCACCCAGATGTCTGGCTTCTGGTCCCCTTGCTTCCCTTTCACAAGGCAGACCCCATGTCTGAACCCAGACAAGTCCCCAGAGATGGCCTTTAATGGGATGGGACCATTCCCTGATTCTGTCTTAGAACCTCCATTTGCAGTCCCCAGAAAGTTTCTTCCTGGAGTTGGGGGGCGGGATGGCAGCAGCCGGACAGGAATCTTGGTGGGTCCTTTAACGGGGGATGGAGAGCGGACAGACGCTGGCTCACTGAGCTGGGCCGAGGCACTCCGGGCCTCACCCCAGGTGGGTGGCCTGAGGTTCATGGGCTTGATTGGGCTGCAGGGACGAGGCAGGGGAGACGGTCCTCTTGCTGGTGTCCCTTTGGCAATAGTTTCAGGAGTTCTGAGTCTCTGAGGGGTGGGGGTCCTGGCGTGGCTTCTCCAACCTTCTGTCTTCTCTTGAACCCAAGATGTGGGAGTCCTGCCCTGGGCAAGGTCAGGAGTGTGTCTGTCCTCTCTCTTCCTTGAAGAAGTACACCATGGGTCTTGGACCCTCTGGGTGGGAGAGGACTGAGGGCCAGATGGGCTATCCCCCGCTGGCAGCTGCCTCCGAGGCGGGATGAAAGATTTCTCCTGATGCCTGAAAGGGAAAAGCGTAAGGCTGGCCGTGTCATCTAGTCCAGTGCCCGGCTCTGAGAAGGGACGGCCTTTCCCCAGCCGGAACACCAAGGGGGTCAGGCTTCACGTTGAATGAAACACATGTTTCCTCTCCCTCTGTGCATGCCCAAGAGTCTTCCTGTGGCAGATACTCCTTAATTTTATTCTCCCTGTGCCCTGCTCAGCAGGTGGAAGGAAGCAGGTCCAGACCCTGGCTTACTTGAGATCCCACATGCACAGGTCACCAGTCTGGGTGCGGGTGGGGTCTCAGTTTGTGCTCTACCATGACATGGCAGGAGGACCTCGGACACATCTGGTCCCGTTATGGGCCTCAGCCTCCTTATCTGTGAAATGGAGGGCATGTGAAGCAGCCAGATGGCCGCAAAAGGAGGGGTGCTTTTTGGGCTCTGAACCAAAAGAGGTTCATGGAGTGGGGGTGTTGACGGGAGACCTACTCCCTTCATCTTAGGGTGGGGAGGCCTCTGAGAATGTGGACTCCAAGAGAGGGAGGCCCTGCCCTGACCCTCCCCGGTACCTCAGGAATGGTGCTGTCTCTTGGAGGCCCCCTGCCCCTGCTCCCCAGTCACTGCAGGGTCTGAGGGAGGACGGCGTGGGGGGCCTCAACTTCCGGCCTGAGGAGGTATATGTCTTCCAGTCCACAGGGGGCAGCGGGCTCTGGGAGCGGCTGATGGTCATCGTAGGCTGGGGCTGCGAGGGCCCGTCCTGCACCCTCACTTCATGCTGTGCCGGTGGGGCCGGAGGCTTCCGGAAGCTGCCCGTCTTGTGTGCTGCCAACACAGTCCCCCAGAGAGGAGAGGAGGGGAGGGTTAAATTCCTGCTGATGAGGCCCCCAGCTCTCCTCCCCCAGCTGCTCCACACCACACATCCCACGTTAGAGAGAGTGGGACCTGCAGTGGCAGAGCCAGGATTTCCTCATAGGAAGTGAGTTAGGGGTGAAACCTGGTCAGAGCGCTCAGCGAAGGCACTTGTTTAAAGCTGCATTTGTATCGCAGGTCCACACATTTCACTTTGGTTACATGCTATCGGGGTGGCTCGAGGTACTGGTGGAGATTATGGGAAGATTTAAGGCCCCTCCAAGTGACGATGCTGGGTGCTAGCCCTGGAGGCTGCAGAGCCAGACCTAGGACCGGCCAAGATACGCAAGATAATGCTGATTCTCTTGTGTTTGGCGCCATCTCGTAGCGCTAACTGGTATAGCACCACGGCGGCCTCGTTTTCTCAGGGCTGAGGACACAACTGTACTTCCTATGGTATCTTCCTTCAGCCCTGCTCACGTCTTGCACCTCTGCTTCCAGCCTCCCGACCCACAGCCCAGGGAAGGAATGGTCAGGGACTCACAGAGGGATGTGCACCGGCAGGGGTCGTGTTTATCCAGATAATGGCCGAGAGTGTCCCAGCCGCCCCCCACACGCACCATCACGTGGTTCCGGAGGATCTGCAGGGGCAAGGGTGAGACTGAGGGCAGGGTGGAGGGCGTCCCCTCTTCCTGGACCAGGATGTAGGCTTCCAGCAAAACTCCCATCCATGTACACACCCGCTCACGTGTCATTGGGAGTTTGCCTATTTTGCATCCTAAGTCTCCTCCATTACTGGCATCAGGTAACATGTGTTGTCAAGGGTGGAGGCCAAGCTGACAAACAGAAAGTTGCCCCATGACAAGGGATCTCACCAGTACTGTGCAGGCGGGCCCCAAAGCACGCTCTGCTCTTCTCTCCCCTCACTGCCAAAGGATTTGCACCTGCATGTGCTTGTGTCAGAAATGGGGCCCTGGCTTTGCTCTGTAGTGTGTGTGTCAAAGAATCCATGAGGATCCCAGCCACACTCCACTCTGTAGTCTCCCCAGGCTTCCATTTCCTCAGTTGAAAAGTGGGGCCACAATGCCTTGCCCATAGCTACTTTGCAGGCTTTTGGCTCAGGGTCTGGGTGAGGGCCCAGGGAGCTGGCTCTGCCCCCAGGTGTGGTCTGTACACAAGAAAGGGCTTGGCTGTGCCCCTGAGCTGCTGGCCACAGCAGCTGACTGTTTCCTGTGAGGTGCAGCCAAGTATGGGAAGTGGGAGGGACATTTCAGGCCTTGCTAGTGCTCATTCTGCAGAATGGAGCCAGCCAGGCCTTCAAGAGGTGGACCATGGGGTTTGTGTGGGTGGGCCATGTGCCGAACACTAACTTGGGGTTCTCGGGCCCTTTGCTCTGTCCAAATCTGTGGGTGGAGTGGAGGTGATGGAAAAGTAGGCACACCCTTCACACTCTATTTTTGCCAATGGACACTCTCTGTATTAGGCTAAGGAGAAGGCAGATAGAGGATGGTGGTTCAGCGGCCCTAACAGGAGGAAGATACAGGCTTGCCAACTTTGCAGGGAATCTTGCCTTAGAATTTTCCAAGGGAGAGAAAGAAAACCCCAAGACCTGATAAGCGGGGGTGAGTAGTGACTTCCTGTCCTTGCTCTCAACATTGGGCAGGGTCCCACAGAAGGAAACTGTTCAGCAATCCGGAGGTCCCTCCAGCCCTGTCCCGGGACTCACCCGGATGAAGATGAGGGTGTTGGAGTCCCCCACGCGGTACTTCCCCTCAGAGACCTTGACCATGGAGAACTGAACCGGGCATGTGCAGTGGCTCATGAGGCTCTGAACCTGCGGGCAGTGGGTAATGAATGATGGGCTCAGCCCTCCCCTCTGCCCAGGCACCCAGCTCCCTACTCCCATGCTGGGCAAAGCCCAAATGGGGGCCTGCCTGCCCCCAGAGCTGACTAAGCTTCTGTTGAGGTCAGGGCTGGGTGCTGAAAGAAAGCAGAAAAGACTTTTATGACCCAATGAGAACAGGCCCTTGAGTGCCTACCATCCCCTGCCCTCCTGGGCTGATAGAGTGGGTAGAATTTAGTCGTGAAGCAGGTGGTCTATGGAACCTGACAGGTTTCTGTTGGAGTCCTACCTCCACTGTATCACAGGCCTCAGGGATGCTAAGAAACCACCCAGAGCGAGAATCCTGGGTGGGAGAAATATAATCACAGTAAGAGCTGATGCCTATGAAGTGCCTTCTCTGTGTCAGACGCTGTTCTGAGCACTTGCTTTGTGCCGGCTCAGTTAACACAGCGACGGTAGGAGGTAGACAGGTAGGAGGTAGACAGATGAGGGGCCTGAGGCACAGAAGGGTTAACTCACCAGCCCAAAGTCACACAGCCACGAAGCAGAAGACCTAAAACTTGAACTGAGGCAGAGCCTGAGTCTGTTCTTAAAAACCACCCAGCAGGGGGAGATTGAGAGAAGTGTAGTGTTGGATTTGTGATTAAAAAGTCATAAAAGTTTCAGCCTCGGCTGCCCGAGATGTGCTGAGGTTCAGGTGTTGACTGGCGCTCCAGAAGGGGGTGGCCCAGAAGCGCAGGTTGGGGGGAGGGGGGAGGGTGGTGGAGGGGTGGGCAGGGGTGGGGTCAGGCTGGAGGCGGGGTGGGGCGAGGGGCCGAGCTCCTCACCATCTGGTCCAGGTTGCGGAAGTGGCAGGGCCGGCGCACTGGGGGCGCGGGCGGTGGGGGGTCGGGCGGGGGCAGCGCCAGCTCCTGCCGCAGCTCCTCGTCGATCTCCTCCTCCAGGTGCACCAGGGTGGGCGCCGCGACGCCGAAGCGCCAGGCCCGGCGGCCCAGCTCCAGCAAACACAGCACCACATTCTTCACGTTCTTGCGCAGCACCAAGTCCTCGGTCTCAAACATCAGCACCTCTGGCAAGCGGGGTCGGAGGAGTGGTGGCAGCCCCAGCGGCTGCTGACCTCCCCGGAACAGTGGGAAAGCTGGGGGGGGGGGGGAGGCGAGGGGACAGCCCTGGACACCCGGTGGCAGACATGGGGGTGGCCTGGGTCTCAGGATCTTGGCGTCAAGCCAATCTCCAAGTGGGGTCGGGCAGAGTTGCTTAGGTGCCCAATGCAGACAGGGCGACTCATCTAACAGGAGCCGCTGGCCTGGGGGGAGGCTAAATGGCTTAGAGAAGGAACCTGGCACCTGGCCGTGTGCCATGGGGAGAGAAGGGTTAACTCCACCTTCCCCTTCTCCCCACTCAGTTTGCCAGATGGGTCTAGAAGCAAGAACCTGTTCTGCTTCTGCCTGGCATCTCAGCCCTAACATCCTCCAGGCATGTCACACTCAACAGGTAACCAGCAGAACTGAGTCAACTCTTGAGCCCCACTGCCAGTGTTGGAACCCAAGCCTCCTAGCCACCCGCTGAGTGACCTTGGGCCAGTCCTGTAGCTTCAGTCTCCTCTTCTGCAAAATGGGGATAGAGTCAATTTTGTGGCGTTGTTGTGAGGATAGTTGCTAAGAATTTACAAAGTCTGACCCCTGATTAGTACCTGATAAAACCCATCCTTTTAGCAACCCTCTAATCCTGCTCCCCACTGCCCTGCACCTGCCAGTAGCCCAGGCCTGACCCCTCTCTGTGCCTCAGTCCCATAGCCTTTGGCCGGGAGATGGTACAACACCCACCTCATCCCTCTGGGGTGCAAAGCCAAGGAGATGAGGGATCCTGACATGTGTGCTTCCCCCAGTCTCACAAGTCCCAGCAAGACTGGCCCCTCCTTAATGTCCACTTGCCTCCTCTGTCCTGTCCCCACCAGACCTGAGGTCCTCACTACCCCAACTTCTCTGTCATCCAAACACAGTGCCTGCTCTGGGCCTTTGCCCCAGCTGTCATTCTACCCAGCATTCCCTTCCTGCAAACTTCTCTTTTGTCCCTAGAACTCAGCTCAGATCTCCTTCCCCTGTGCAGCCTTCCTTGAACCCCCACTTCCGCCCCGTCAAGAAGCAGTTTCCTCCTCTGGCTTCCCAGTACATACATCTCCACTTAGAGATTTTTGCGCCTGGGACTGTATTTTATTTATCTCCTCATCTGTCTCTCCTCCTAGACCAGGAACTCGGATATCAGGTCTCAGTCCCCGGTGCCCAGCATGGTCCTTAACTCAAAGGAGACAGATATTCAGTAGATGTTTGTCAAGTGACTGAATGAATCATTCAGTCAAGACAGTGAGGATTTACTTACTACGAGATGGGGAATTAGGCATGAAGTGGGATGAGTGGGCCCATAGCAGATCTGGAAATATCTAGGCGTCTCACCCCAGAAGTAGCCTGGGCCTCAGGGAGGAACTGGGTCCTGGGCAAGGTCAGGATCTAAGGAGGGAGGTCAGGGACGGTTACCTTGGATGCCCATCTCCTTGCGACACCACTGAATGAAGTTGGAGACATTGTCCCGGGCCTGGAAGGTGCCTGGCTGGGCGGCCCCATTGCAGGGAACCCCAGTCCGGGGCATGAGAATCCTTTGGGCTTGGATAGGTGCCTCAGCCAGGAAGGCCAGGGCAGCCTCAGTGATGGCATTGGCATGCTGGCACAGCACCAGGCCCGTCTCCAGCACCTGCAGAAAGTTGGCCGCGTCGATGTCCAGTCCGTACAGATCCCGAAGCCACTCAGCCAGGTCCTCCTTCATGGCTTCCAGGTACTGCTCACTGGACTTAAAGGGCCGGATGCTGCGCACCAGGGGCCCTAGGGACCTAGGCCTCCTCCTCCCAGGGCCCCCGGGCTGGGACATGGCTCAGCCCTCAGCAGGGGAGTCGGTGGGCACTCCTGCCACTTGCTGGGTCTTGGCTGCTTCTCTCTGATTCAGGGGTCTCCCCACCACGTCTACCCTTGGAGAGCCCAGGACTTCTGGTTCTGCTACTTGCTGCCAGCTTCAGCTGCTTCTACTGGACCAGGCCCAGCCCCCAACCCCCACATTCCTCAGTCCGGGCCAGAACTTTCCCTACTTGGTGGCCCTACGGCAACCTCACTCTCCAGATGCCCAGTCCACTCAGTCTGACACCTCCCTGGACAGATGGAGGTGAGGACCTTCCTCTGCCCCCCAAGGGCTGGAAATTCAAGCCAGCTGCCTTCCACCCCCACCAGCCTGTGGATCCTGGCGTGGCTGTCGGCCTCTCCACTTTGCTTTCTTCTTGCTCCTTGGAGACAGCGACTGCTACAAACACTCCTTGTTAACCCTTCCTGGCAGACAAGGACTCCACGCCCTGCAGAGCTGCCCGGAGCCAGGGGAACAGGAAGGAGAGGCTGGGGCTGGCTTCTCTCACGCAGTTCTCTCAGGTGGGGGCTTCTGGGGAGTGGGGGAGAAAAGCGGGGCCAGGCTGTGTGAGTCCCCCGGTGTTTAGTGAGTGCTGCAGGGTGGGGATGAAATCAACAGTGATAGAGTCCAAAGACGAGTTTAGCCTTGACCCTTTGCTAAATCCCACTGTCCCGTCATATTCTTTTTTTTTTTTTTACAGAGGCAAGTTTTATTTATTTATTTGTTTGTTTGTTTGTTTGTTTATACAAGCACTGGGCACAGTCAGAAGTGCGGGAGGGTGAGAGAATTCACCAGAGCCAGAGCGGGGAGCAGAGCAGGCAGAAGGACCGAAGTACACTGCTGAGGGGAGCAGCGGGCGGCAGGGGAGGTCTGCGCGCCATGTGGGACCCTCCTCCGGTGGCCGGGGAGCAGCTGGGGAGCAGCCGGGGATCGAACCGGCGCCGCAGAGGCCGCGGGCAGCTTTGCAACCCAGTGCTCAACCGCTGCGCCACCGGGGAGGCCCTGTCCCGTCATATTCTGCCTCATCTCTCTGTGGCTTAAGTTTCCTCAACTGTAAAATGGGGATAAATTGCTTCTCCCAGGTGTTGTGAGGAATACAGGAATGATGTGTGTGGAAGGTACCAGACTATCAGAACATGCACTTGTTGGGGACTGCAATTATCGCAGCAGCCCTGACTATGCACCATGATCCCCACTTTCTCTGGAGAACCTGCTCCATATCCCACTCCAACCACACACATCTCCTAGAACAATTGTCAATCATAGTACCTCACCCCACATGACCACAGCCATTGTTCATTCAATAAATATTTCTTGAGTCCCCACTGTGTGCCAGCACTGATAGGCCTAAGGCTTAGCTATAAATGAGGTCCCTGACATCACAGAGGCACTTACAGATACAAACAAACCTGTAGTAAGTCAAATGGTGGCAAATACAAGGGAAAAACAAACAAACAACTAAGGAGACAGGGTTGTGTGTGGAATTTTATAGAGGGTGGTCAGGGAAGGCCTCGCTGATCATCTGATGTTTGAGTGGAGACCTGACAGATGCAAGGAAGCAAATCTTACAGATGTTCGGGGGAAGAGTACCCAATCAGAGGGAACACCCACAGCAAAAGCTTCAGGCAGGAGCACGCTTGACCTGTCAAGGAACAGCAAAGAGAGGCAGGACCGGAGGCCAAGGGAACATGGGATCCCAGATCATGCGGGGATTTTTTAAAAAGCTTCCCAAGGTAATTTTCTTTCTTGCATTCTAAAGGCATCAAGACCATGTTGTACCATTTTATGGATGAGGAAGAAACAAAAACTGAAGCTGCCAGGAGGTCTCCATTTCTCACTGAGCGGCCCTCTCCCAGGGTGACTGCGTGCCCTCCTGACACGGCAACCGGCTTTCCCCAGAGCCAGAGGCCACAGGGTCTTTCATTACCTAGTCTCAAAAGCCACACTCTGAAATTTCCACAACATCCTGTCAGTTACTGTGATGAGAAAATTGCCATTCTGAGTTGCTAGTGAGACATTTTACATGACAACCTGCTCGCACTCCATCTGGATAGTTAGGCACGAATCTGAGCTCAGGGCTCCAGCACAGGTTCCACCTGATCTTCCCCCCAGGTTCCATTTCAAATAACCACTATGGTTAAGCCCTGAAAAAATTAGTGGCCACAGCCCCAACCACCTTATAAGAAACAGGTGCTTGCTGTCCTGCTTGCACTTTGCTTTCTAGGGCCGCCCTCACTGCTCCTCACATTTCTTCCCCACCCCATGCTGGAATTTATAAGTAATAAATCTTGTGTCTTTACTTCCTGGTGTGGGTGGCAGGTGCCTCTCACTCAGCAGGTCATGATCTATCTATTCGTTACTTTACACAGAGCTCCAGGTTTTCCCGCACAGCTACCTAGGTCAGGCTTCTTTCTTGTTGGCAGCTGCCGGTCAGGTAGGGTGAGAGGAGATGACATGAGAACATGAAGACCAGTGTCATCGGGTACTATCTTGGAGACTGGCTACCCCGCATACATAGGAATTCTTCCTCTGAATTCTTTTTTTTTAACATAAATTTATTTATTTATGCATATAATCTAGAGGTGGTAGGGGTAAAAGGATTCACCAGAGACAGAGTGGGGAGCAGAACAGGCAGATTGACTGAAACACACAGCAGCGGGCAAGACAGGAGAGGTCTGTTGCGCCATGTGGGTTAGCTCCCTGGCCTGGGATAGAACTCATGCTGCAGTGGCTATGGACAGCTTCATAGTACTGTACTTAACCCCTTGTGCCACCAGGGAGGCCCCTCCCTCTGAATTCTTGCTAATAGAATCCAGTTCTGTTCTGCTATTAGATAGAACATCCTTGAAATTAGGGACAGTGGGGCCTCCCTGGTAACCTAGGGGTTAAGTCTCAGCACTACCACAGCAAAGGCCCAACGCGGAGGCCTGAGTTTGATTCTGGCCAGGGAACTGGCCCACATGGCACAGCAGACTTCTCCTAAGCAGTATATTTCAGTGGATCTGCCTGTTCTGCTCCCCAGTCCCTCTGGTGAAACCTCTTACACCCCTCCCACCTCTGGCCTACATCCCAGTTCTTCTAATTAAAAAAATAATAAATAAAATCTATTAAAAAAAAAAAAGAAATTAGGGAAGTGGTCCCCAACCCAGAATGAACCTTGAAAGGTCTCAGTCTGTTATGGCAGAGTTAAAATTGAAATTTTAATCAAGGGCACCAAGATCCAATAGATGAAGCAAACCAGAAAAGGAATAAAGCCACATGTAGAATTTATCGAGGTATTATTCAAAATCAGCTCACTCAGCTCTGACTTTTCTCCCCCTAGAGCACAGAGACTTGGATTGTTGCAGATCAGGAGAGAATTAGTAAAGATTTATCTTGAGAAAATTGCAACTGTGCTGTGTGTCCTGTGGTAGGTTGAATAATGGCCCCCCAAAATAGCTGCTTCCTAATCTACACAACCTGTGACTGTTACTTTATATGGCAAAAGGGAGTTGGCAGATGGGAGGAAGGATCTTGAGAGGGGAGAGCTGCCATCACAGAGTGAGGTGGGTGTGGTTTGAAGTAGGAGATTTGTCAGTTGAAGCAGAGGCCAGAGTGATGGGGCCACTACCCAGGAATTCCAGCAGCTTCTGGAAGCTGGAAGAAGCAAAGAGCATATTCTCCTTGGGAACCTACAGAAAAAACCTGCTAACACTTGGTTTTAGTCCTGTGAGGCTCATTTCCAACTTCTGACCTTTAGAACTGTGAAAGAATAATGTGCTGTTTTAAGACTCGGGTTGTAGTAATTTGTTAGAGCAGCAACAGGGGCTAACGCTCGTCACAACCACAAGTGAGAAGCAAGGGAGATACAATCATGGGCACAGTGGATCCTGCCTGAATTGGGGCCAGGAGAACAGAAAGTGGTGGTTGGCTAGCTGAGGGGGAGAGAGAGAGACAGAGGGAGGAAGTATCATATCTTCTGCCTCCCACCTCATTCCATTGCACGATCTGGTCAGGGCAGGCCCCAGCCAGGAAGGGCAGAGGGGAGGCAGGAAAGGACATGTAGCATTTTATCAACTTTCAGTGTCCACAGACCACAGGTTCTTTGAATAAGGCTAGGGCCTATCTGCATTATCCTCCAGGCACAAGGGAAGGAAGATTTCCTCCCCTTCAGCAAGCATGAAGGGACTAGAGGAGGCAAAAAGCAATCATTTTAGAGCTTTACTCCATGAGTCCTATTTGATCAAAGGTACCACTTAGAATCCCCTAGGCCAGTCTTTGCCATCCCATTGCTAGCTTGCAAGCAGGGTAAAATCTCAGACCTGTCCCAGTTCTTGACAGTGTTCCCCCAGCATGACTAGGAGACCCCTAAGTCTTGGTTTGCTGCCTTTATTCTATATCCCACCACCCTGCCTCCACTAAACAGGGAGATATCTGAAGGGAGAGACCACCCTCTCCCCTCCACATCAGACTTGGGCTGTGTCATTTTACTCTATCAGACTGGAATCTCCCTGATCCAGCAACTGTATCCCATCAGACTGAGGCACTCCAGAGTTGGGTCTCCGTCCTCGGCCCCTCTGTACACTCCTGTCTCTGCCAACTGTAGGTCAGGAAAAGGATTTTCCCAAAGTTTCCATGATTTAATTTCCTACCCCAGAGCTTGTGTGTGTGTGTGTGTGTGTGTGTGTGTGTGTTTGCTCATGCACGTTCTCTCTCACCCCATTCAGGAGCTGCACCTGGCTTCCCTGAACACCCCCCCCCACTTCCCACTGGGCCTGAGGCCATTTCCTCTGCTCCTTGTTGCTAAGGCAGTGAGCCGGGTGGAGTGAGGAGCAGGACTGAGGACGGAGCATAGGGGTGTGAAAGAAAGGGGAGGAGAGGAAATAATGACACAAGTAAGCACAATGCTTTGAGGGCTTTCTGTGGGCCGGGCAAAGTCTGGCACCATGCTGCCATCTCTGATCACAGAAGAGACAGCCTTTAGAGCTGGGAGAGAGAACATGGGGAAGGTTAGATAGCTTTTAGATTCATGTGGTGGAACTGAGAATTCAGTCTACTGGGGGCCAAAGCCACCCTTCCTCCTCTCTGATGCCTTCCCAAGAGGGGAGGTAGGGAGCACCTGTTTTTGAGTGCTTTTGGAGACTCGAGGAGGGAGCGATTCCAGATAGAATTCGATGGGCAGTGAGGTTCTAACCCCACCCTTTGTGATCCAACAGAGGCCCTAGAAAGCAGAGTAAATTCCATGGATTCTGGGAACCCCCTGTCATCCCAGTCTCTGATCAAGGGAAGAGGGCAGCAGAGGCCAGGGAGGAATGGATAAGCATGGTGAGTGGGGCTGGAGGCAAGGTGGGGCTGGAGGACAATGAAGAATCCCACCCACCACCATGGCTAACCCAGAGCAAAATCGTCTTTTCTCAATTACCCATCTATGTGCAAGCCCTCTCCTCTCTCTTTCCTGAATATTCTTCATATCTGCTCCCTCATCTTCACCTGCTGCTCAGATCTTTGTTTTAACTAGCCTGGACCACTGTAGTGACTCCTAAGCAGGTCTCTCTCTGTCCTGTCCTAGCCCAGAGCCCCTGTCCTAAAACACAGCTCCTTCCGGCTGAGGGACAAAGTCCAGACTCTACAGCCTGGCACCCAAAGTCCCAAACTTCCTTACCAGCCTCATTTCCTATTCCCCCTTCTGCCTCAAAGTTCCCAGCATCCTTTTCTGACTGCATATTAGGTCTTGTCTGACCTTTCATACTCAGAAACAGCCTTAATGTGCTTTCTTAAATAAAAGTGAAATGGACCCTGACCTCCACCTTTACTAACACCGAGATCTGGCAGAATCTTTGAAAAATTACTCCTTGAAGGTCTTCAAAAGTCCTGGATGAAATTCAGAGGCCCCTCTATTTCCTATTTTATCATCTAGCTGAGAGGGTCATGAAGATCAAGGTGATTGTATGCAGCTGGTGTCTAATACATGTGGGCTAGAATACCAATTATATTATCATTCCCTTTTGCCCCTAACCTCTTCATACATTATGGAACAGGATCAATAGACATTTTTCTTAACTTTTCCAAGGCGAATCCCAGGATTTAAGTACTACCTGGCCTCTTCTCCCTTTTTTGCACAAGCCTAGGCCCCCTAGATCCAGCACATGGCAGGGCACATGGTGGTGCTGGGTGTTTGCTGGGGGGAGGGGGACATCACCCATTTGAGACCCAGTTATTCTCACACCAGCCCAGGAACTTCCTGCCTTCTGGGTGGGGATGGGGTGGGTGGGGACTGCTTGGGGCTTTGGAATTTGTGTCCTGAACAAAGGCACCAGCAAGAGGGGACAATGGTGACACATCCAGCTGGCAGTTGGGGCCAAGCCTGAAGGTGGAAAACTTTTCCTGATGGGTTCACCCCTAGGGCAGGCTTTTCCCCTAACTGGTTTGCGCCTAAGAAGGTGGAAGTCCTTGTTCTATTTTGTCTCCCCATGACCGGCATTTTTTCTGATTGTTCTGCTCATCAAAGACACCTTTTTCTAATCATGCAGAGGTGCTGTGCCCACCTGCCTGATCCCCTCACCACAGGTGATGCTGGGCTTTCTTAAGGCAAGTCCCATTCTGAAGAAGGAAATCCCATCCAGAAAAGAAAATACAAACCACCAAAGAGCATTCCAATCAATGCAACTCATGCTTGACAGCAGGTGGAGAGTAGGCACTCAGTCCATTGAGGAAGAAGGGGCTTCACAGCCCTCCTTGCTACCTCCTGCTGGTGACTTCCACCGGCCAAGGCCTGGGCTGGGCACTTTACACAGATGCCACCTCGGAGGGGCCTACAAGAACCCTTGAGGTAGACCTCACTTCCCCCATTTTCCATGTGGGGAAATGCCATTTGTCCAGCTATGAGACTTGCCGCGCTCCTCAGCTAGGAGGTACAGAAACTCCCTGCCCGGGAAATCCTGCACCCTCTGTAGCCCTCTGGGAGGCCTTGGGGCTGGTGCCTCCCTGCACCATCCTCAGGGTCCCCGCCTGACTTGGGCAACAATCAGGGTCCCAGGTTCCCTGAGGACCAGGGGCCTGCACTGACCCCTCGGCCGGCCGCCCGCAGGAGTGAAGACCCCCCTGTGGAGGAAGGACCTGGAGGAGCCCGGGGCCGCAGGGGCGCAGGCGGGGGCCGCGGAGGAAGGGTCGGAAGACGCGGAGAGGCGGCCGCAGGAGGGCGCGAGCGAGGCCGGGGCGCAGGGCCGGGAGGCCGAGGGCGGCGAGCGGGGCTCGGGGTCCTACTGCCCGCTGCGCCAGGAGAGCAGCTCGCAGCAGGTGGCGCTGCTGCGGCGCGCGGACAGCGGCTTCTGGGCCTGGCTCAGCCCCTTCTCGCTGCTCGGCGGCCTGGGCGCTCCCGCCGACAGGTGAGAGGGCGCCCCTCGGCGGGACGCAGACGCACCGGGGCCCCAGCTAGGAGGCGACGGCGCGGGGCACTGAGCGGCCGGTCCCCCGCCCGCAGGAAGCGCAGCCCCCCGGAGGAGTCCTGCGTGTTGGAGACCCGGCGGCGGCCGCCGCGCGGCGGGGGCTGCGCGCGCTGCGAGATCCTTTTTTGCAAGAAGTGCAGGAACCTGCACAGCCACCCGGCCTACGTGGCGCACTGCGTGCTGGAGCACCCTGATCTGGGTGAGATGAGGGCTTCGGGAGGGGCGGGGGCCGGCGGGGGTCCCTTATGGTCCCACTGCCTGCCGTTGGGTCCTCCATCCTCGCCTGATCCCAAACGCCCCGCAACCTCCTCTCCCCGGCGCGCGGAGCCCTCTCCAGCACATCCTCCCGAGCGCCCTCTCAGGTCTGCAGGCCCAGATGCGGGGCTCCCGCCTGTTATCAGGCGCCCACCCGATGCAGAGCCCAGCAGCACCTGGAGCACCCTTCCTTCCTGAGCGCCTCATAAGGGCCCCGGCCGGGCAGCACCCGGTGCAGGCTGCCAACTGACTCGAGGCCCAGGCGCTGCCTCACCTGCATCTCTTGGGTATTTTAGGTCCTTCTGGCAGGATGGGCAGAGGCATCGCCTAGAGGAAATGACCTCCAGGTTCCCTCACCCCTCCAAGACACCAGTCCCTTCCCCTTGCATCATGCAATAAAGCCTCTAACCAAAATGGCAAGGTGGCCCCCTGGTGAAGGTGGTGATGGTCTACCCCTTTCCCCTTCCCTGGGGTTCAAGACAGAGGGAAAAGGGCCTGTGGAGAGCTGCTCCTCTGCCTTCTCAGGGGGAGGGAGGAACTCGGCCCTTGCATCCCCAATAGTCCAGGATCTTGCCCCACTGCACAGAGAAGTAAGTGGCTGCTGAAGTCCAGGAATGCCTGTGGGGAGCTGGGGGCTGACACTGCCAGACCTCTCTCTCCTCCCCCAAGTCTGGTCTTACTGAGGTCAACGCTTGTGCAATGAGGTCCTGGCAAGTGTGGAGGGGCATGGGAGACCTGATCGGAAATGCAACTCAGGCTGAGGCAGAAGGTCAGGCTGGGGAGCTAGTTTCTTCTCCAGGAATCCCAGCTATTCCTAGCCAGCCAGCAGGGGCTCCTGGAATGGGGTGGTGGTGGTGGTGGTGGTGGGGTGTGTGTGTGTGTGTGTGTGTGTGTGTGTGTGTCCTGGAGAATGGAGGCATTGTGGCCACAGGGCCTCCCCAGCCTGCACAGCCCCCAGTGCCTGCAGCAGTGCAGACTTCCAGAGAGGCCCTTATCCCCTCCCTGTCATAAGAGGTTCTCCATCTGGCCTGCGGGTTGGGGGCAAGTGCATTCTGCTTTTTGAATAGAGGGCAGCTCCTTTTCCCCATCACAACCATGTGCGCACGCGCGCACGCACACACACAGACACACACAGGTCCTGGCTTGGACAGAAGAACATAGTTTCAGCCTCTTCAGATCCATGTCTACCTGCTCCCACTAGAAACCCTTCCAAGGGAGGCTAATTCCCACCTCCAGTTCACCAGTTGGGGGCACCTTTTTATTTTCCTCCACAAAAAGCCAGGGCCCACAGGCTTGCAGCAGCCCCTTCCAGCTCTGGGTCCTAACTCCCCTCCCCCCCAGGGGAGATCTTTGTACCCAACCCACCCAAGCTTCCTGGGGATGGTTTCTTTGATTAATAAGACAGTTCTCCTAGGGCTACGCTAGGTTCCCCAGGGGAGGAGGACAGTCTTGGAAAGTGGCCCCAACCTCTCCGTCGAATCTTGTATCCTCTTTAGCTGCCATGTCTTGGAGGGGAGGTGCACCTTTAGTGGATAAAGCAAAATCCCCAAGACTTGGGGAGGAAAGAGGGCCATGGGGAAAGGATTGTGGGACTCAGTTTTGCTTCTCCTTGGATTGATGCCAGCCCCACCTCCATGGGGTGGGCACAGCACAAAGACGATGCCTCATTCTCCTGGCAAAGCTGGGTCTTCTGCAGGGAGGCTCAGAGGTTCTGCCCCTGGAGCAGGGCACCCAAGTGGGCCACAAGGGCATCAACAGTTCACTAAGAGGTGGGGGTGCCTTCAGAACAGGGCACCCTCTGAGTTGGCGTGCCAACAGCCCATCCAGGGCAGCTCTGTGGTCCAGCGGCCAGAGGCTGTTGCCTGCAATTTGGCCTGGTCCAGATGCCAATAGCGGTCGTCTCTGAAGAAGATGATAGAACCGTCGGGCCGAGGCAGGGCACCGCTGACCTCTTCAGGGACGCCGCCCCAGTCCCGCAGGCCTCGGGGGTAGTAGGGTTCCACCTGCAGTCCCTCTCGGGTCAGCACGTAGTATCGGGCACCCTTGAAGAGGATGAGGCGGCTCAGAGGAGGGAAGAAGAGGGCTGCATCGGGGTGGCGGGGCAGGCCCCCGGCCCGGCACAGTTGTGGTGAACCCCACACTGACTTGGGGCCCTGGAATCTCCAGCATCGACTCCCTGTGGGACATTGGGAGAGCCAAGGTGAGCTGGTGGCTCTCACCCTTTGGTCCTCTCACCTCTGCTCCCCAGCCCCCTCTCCTGCCCATGTTGGTGCCCCTGATGGTTACTAGTGGAGGATAAGAGTAGAGAATTTGCAGAGGAGGCATCACAGGACCAGAAATGGGCTCACACCAGGCCAGAAGCTGGAGGTGGGGTGGTGGGGTAGAAATGATTAACATAGTCATTTAACAAGCTCTACATAAAGTCAAGTATCCGGAGGGGAGGTGCAGCCCAAGGCGCAGACCAGGTTGGGACATGGAGATTGAGGGCTATTGTAAACTCTTCTTTCCAAATTGACCTAGTCAAACCAAATATAGAAAAAATCCTTAGGCGTCAACCCTAGAAATAATTTTACAGCAGTTAACAATCCACAAAGGAATGAGGCCCTCTCAAAGAGAAGACTCTCAGTGCAGTCTCTGCACTGGCAAGAGGCAGCAGCCTTCTGCCCGCCTGTGACCATGCAGTGTTCTCCTAGCACACCTGTCTTGTTCAGGGGCCGCTCTTCCTGTCCACTTATGTCTGTGCAAGCATCCTTTACTTCCCCTCCCTTTTTATAATAAACTTGCCCTTTTGAATATAACTAAATGTCTCTGCCTCATGGGGAAACTTTGCTGAGGAAAACTGGCCGTGTGCCGCTTAAAGGGAAGCTCCCTGGTGGCAGAAGGGGTTAAGACCCCTACCTATGAAGCTATCCGCAGCCACTGCAACACAGGTTCAATTCCCCAGCTGGCCAGGGAGCTACCCACATGGCGCAGCAGACCTCTCCTGACTCGCCCACTGCTCCCCTCAGCAGTGTACTTTGGTAGATCTGACTGTTCTGTTCCCCGCTCTTTCTCTGGTGAATCCTCTCACCCCCCACACCTCTGGCCTATACCCCAGTTCTTGTATGCATAAATAAATAAATCTTTTTTTAAAAAAAGGGAAGCTCTGATGGAACGTTTCTCAGAGGTAACCCTAAGGCCCTGCCTCTGAATCCAACACCTCTCCAAACTGACAACATCAGTATAACTGACAACATCAGTATTTGTGATAAGCAAAATGGATCATAATAATAATTGTTACAAACAGCAAGGAAGGGACTGTCATGGCCTAGACTTCCAGCAGATAGCAGCTGAAGGCAGAACTGAAGGCAATGCCCCTCCTCAGATAGCAGGGTCCCTCCCTTGGGGAGGAATAGCTCCCAGGGAAGGCCAGGGGCTTTCTTCACTACTCTGACCACAATAGCTCAGTGTGGTTTTGTTCACTATTGTATCCCAACACCACCACCTCTGGTGCACAGGAGGCACTCGGTCTGCTGAAAAAATGAACACTATTAACCGAAGTAACATGCTGCACACGTCTCAGACATTATATTCTTTCAACCCCCCTTCCCCAACAAACCTGAAGGGTTATTTCCCCATTGATGAAATTCAAGATGCCAGCGTTAGGTGACATGTCCAACCTTACAGGGCCAAGACTTCAAGGACGGGATGGCTTTATCAGCAGTGGTCCTCTGCTTCCCTCTAGAATCTTCTCTGAAACCCCCTGCCCCCCATAGTCGGGACCCCAGCCTTCGCTCCTCCTCCCCCACATGACTGGAGGAGTCTCCAGCTAGTGCACCCTAGGGCCAAAGGTTCACATTGTAATTAGGGCTCCACCCCTCTTTTGTCCTCTGTTGGGACACCTCCCAAGTCAAGACTGCAATTTTCTGATCTGCCCCGGGGCTGGTACCTTTGAAGAAGTAGAAGTCTCCGTCCTCCAAGGACACCGCGGCAGCCTCGATGTGGGGGGGCAGCCCGGCCCACCTTTCCTGTAGTGGGCGGGGGCCCGACATGTTGCCATCAGCTGCCACCTCCCAGAACTGATTCCCCTTAAAAATGTACACTCGCTGCTGCCGGTCTGCGCGGGGACAAGAGTGACGTCAGCCTCCTGCCTGCCTCCCAGAGTGTGCCCTGGAAGACCCCGGCTTCCCAAACCCCCGAGAGGATGTAGCATGTGCAGTGGGGCCAAGGAAAGTGCATAAGAGGAAGGGGGTTTTGTTTAGCCTGGGCTTCCTACCCTGGGAATGCGTTTGGCTTGGGATTTCTGGATTTTCTAATTCACCTCCCCCCCAACACCACCATACACAGGGGAGACCCCTGTGTATATGGGGGAGGGTGGGAGAGAGAAGGTGACACCATCTTACCTACAGTGAGAGCATCGAAGGAGGAGTGGCAATACTTAGGAGCACCAGTTTCAGGGCGCCTGCCCCTGGAGCTGTGGGAGTCCCAGGCCTCGAAGTCAGTGAATAGCTTTCCGGGGAGCTGGATGGCCACGGAGCCCCCTTCGGGCTTCCCTTCACGGGGGAGGGGAGATGAGGAAAGAATACACCATTGGTATTGGTAGGGGGAGGTCTTGAGGCTTAAGGTCTCTGCACCCCCATCCTCACCCCTGGTCCTTTCATCACCAAAATGAGGGCCAGGGAAGGAGAGAGGGGTGGGTGAGTTACAATTGCCCTTGGTTGTTGGTGCTAACCATAGCACTGAATCCACCCAACAACCTGGGAAATGGAATAAAACGGAGTGGGGAACTCAGCAAGCGTTTGGAACTAGCAAGAGCAGAGGGTCCTCTGCCCTCTGGGCAGTGAGCAGGGGTCGGGGCAGGGGCCAAGGCAGTAATAAGGACAGCAGCAGCTGTAGCGCTGCACTTGACTTAGGAGAGGAGCGAGGCCGTCTAATGGCCTTAGAATATGGCGGCAACTTCTGAATCCTGGACTGCAAATTCCTCCTGCGGGCATGTTAATTAACTTCTCTGAGCCCCATTCCTGTTATCTGTGGACAGACACTTCTTGATGTCCTCATGAACGTGTTACATGTTAAGTGTCTGGCCCAGGGTAGATACTCATGAAATAGCAGCGGTTACTATTACATTTGGGTAGGTTTCTCCGGCTACAAAGTATGTCCACACCCACTAGCACAACAGCCCTGTGGGTAAGCAGGGATTCTGTTCCTATTCTTTTTCACAGAAGATGAAGCTGAGGCCTCTCAGAGGCCTCCTGGTTGAATCTGCCTCAGAGGGAAAGTGCTTTGCCCAGTGTTAATCAGGAATAGATGGGTGACTTGAACCCAGACTTACTGGGCACTCAGAAACCACACCTGGCAGGTTCCTGGGCAGCAGCACTGGCCTGTTCGTGCCAGGGGAGATTATTCTGGAAGGTCCAGGCTTGTGGGGGAGTCAGTGTCAGTGTCATGGAAAGGGAAGGTGGGGAGAGCAAGGGACAGCTCAGGCCTGAGGGAGAGGTGGGAAGGAGGGTAGGGCTGGGTGATGGGGCCTGGCTTAGGCAGAGTCAGCTACGGAACCCCCAGGAGGGCTGTGCCCAGGAACTGGTTGGGACCGAGAGAGGTGTTTCTGGGGAGACTGAGCTTTTTCAGATTTGAGGGGAGCCTGCAGCTTCAGGATGGGGTAGGCCGGTGACTGGGGTGGCGAGGGGCGGATCCCTGCATTTAGGATGCCGGATGGGGGATCCTATTTGAAGAGCGACGCTCAAGCCCTGGAGGCCGGCGGGCAGGGAGGGGCTGGCACCGGGCACCGCAGGGGGCTCACCATACAGGCTCTGCACGGCCAGCACGTCGTCCCAGCTGAGCAGCGCGTCGCGGCCCAGCCTCTTGTAGTAGGGCGCCATGAGCGCGCGCGGCGCGGGCGAGTGGGCCAGGCCGAGCGTGTGGCCGATCTCATGGGCCAGCACCACGAACAGGTTGCGCCCGCGCCGGCGGGTCAGGGACCAGCGCTCGTCGCGGTCGAAGTGCGCTTCCCCGCGGCGGGGCAGGAAGGCGTGCGCCAGGGCGCCCCCTGCGGGCGGCGCGGAGAGTCAGCGGGAGGCGCGGCTCGCGCCGCCCCGAGTTCCCAGCGCACAGACCGCGGGGAAGGTGCGCGCCTGTTTTCTGCAGCCTGGTTTCCCTGCCGAGTCTAGCAGCAGCTGCAGTGGGGAGCAGTGAACAGATGCCCTGACGGCGGTGTGGTGTAGCTACAGCTGGGACCAGACTGCCTGGGTTCCAGCCCTGGTTTTACGGTTTACTGGCTGTGTGACCTGCAGTAGCTTAACCTTTTGTGTCTTAGTTTCCTCATGTGCAAACCCAAAGGATGATAATGAACTGCTTAGGGTTCTGAGAATTGGAAAGGGATGTGTGTGTAAGTGTATGTTCCATGTGATAGTTAATGCCAGGCCTCCCTGGTGGCGCAAGAGGGTAAGCACAGCACTATGAAGCTGTTCAGCCTCTGCAGGACCACGGGTTCGATCCCCGGTCGGCCAGAGAGCGACCCACATGGCGCAGCAGACCTCTCCTGACTCGCCCGCTACTCCCCTCGGCTGTGTATTTCAGTCGATCTGCCTGTTCTGTTCCCCACTCTGTGTCTGGTGAATCCTCTCGCCCCCCCCTTCTCTCCTCCACACCTCTGGCCTGCACCCCAGCTCTTGTATGCATATATAAATCTTAAAAAAAAAATAGTTAATGCCTGCCACATGATAGTTGCTACATAGGCACTATGTTCAAAAAAATCTAAATCTAGATGTAGGGGTGGTGGTTACTCTCGATGGGACCTTCTGGGGTGTTGGCAATAACCTGTTTCTTGATCTGTTACTCGGTGTATTGTGCGTAAGCACAGTAGAAAGCTGCCCCATTCTTGCCTTCCCTCTCCGGGCTCCTGGTGGAGCTCTGCCTCTCTGCTGTAATAGGTATGAGCAGAGGCAGGTGGGCTGGGTGAGTGATTCACAGGCCTCTAGCAAGGCCCAGATGGAGCTTATTAGATATGTAATTTGCTGGGCTACACTGCTCACAATTCACTTTCTGCAGGAGCGGGGGCAGCAAACTGTGTTGTGGTCAGGTCGGCCTAGAAGCTTGTCGCCTGGCCTTCCAGCCTGACCTTCTTGGGGCCTAGGCCAAATGGGGCTGAGGAAAGTCAGAGGGCTGCCATTGAAGGAGAGCCTTCTGCGGCATGGAGAATGTGGAGGAGGAATGCACACCTCCTGGTTGAAGCTGCCTCAAGCTGTTTCGAGCACTGTAAGTTCCTTTCCTTCACCCCTCACGATAACCCTGGGAGACATAGGGGCAGGTTTCAGAGGGAGAAGACCCAAACTCAAAGAGGTAAAATACCTGTCCCGTATCAGAGCTGCTTGCCCTCATGCTCTAGCCCTGACCCCTAGACCAGCTCCCTTAGCTACGACTCTCCTGGGGATGGGCGTCAACACCTCACGTAGACATCTCTGGTGAAGTGAGTTACGGGACAGCACCTGTGTCTGTTGCATGTAGATTCTAGCAAAACCAAGATTTCTCCCTGTCCTCCCAGGGCCCTGCACAGGCTCTGGAAAGGGGCTCTTTTAGTGGGTGGGGCTGAGGGAAAGGAGGAGAGTGCCAAGGAGGTGGGGACCCCATGCCCAGGACACACAAGGCTAACTTCCCCACTTTGGAGGGTCCCATGCGCTCTCACTAGGAGTGAGGAGATGCACAGAGGCCGCATTCAGGTTCTGAAGGGCAGTGTTGGGCAGAGTGGGAGGAGAGCAGTTTAAATGGCAGCCAGAAGCCTTCAGGTTGGGGGCAAGCAGTACTGTTCGGGCCTGTGGGTATGTGAACCGCTTCTGGACAGGCAGGGGGTAGAACGTCTCTTGCCCTGCTGCAGGGACAGTGGTAATGGGTGGGAGGAAGGCAGGAATGGGGGTAGTGGTGGCTTTAGGATGTTTTTAGGGCCCTGGTTTGGAGAACATACAGCCCTAGAGAATGAGCAGCACGGCCCTATCTAGAGCCAGGAGGTGAATGATGGGATCTCAGCTGTTTCTCCCAGAATAGATAATACTCTTTAGACTTTGCAAAACACTTCCCAAGCAGAACCTCGCTGGATGCCCCTTCAGCCACATGGCACATAATCTGGCAGGTATCCAAGGTGCCTATTTTACCGAGGAGGACTGAGGGTTATTTGGGGAAGGATGCAGTTTGGCCAAGGCCACTGGGAAACTTGAATATTCCATTGTCAGCCCGGACCACCCCCCTGGTTCTGGAGAGAGGTTCTGTGTCAGCACCTGGTCCATCGAAGGCGTTCCTCAGCCCGTCATTGTGGTCCCCTTGGAAGAAGGTAAGTCGGATGTCCGCGGGGCCTGAGGCTGGGGCCTCCCAGAACTGGAGTGCTGAGACGTTGCTCCATAGCTGGAAGGCAGCGCGAACGGCCCCCCGAACTGCAGGCTCTGGTAAGTGCTGGGGCCAGTTCACCAGGCGGTAGGAGAGGTGCTGCTTGTACCATTTGTTGCCTGTCACCCAGAAAGGCCACATTAGTCAGACCTGCTGCTGTGCCTGCGTTGGTCCCTGGACCCAGATGGTGGGGAGGCAGACACTCCTCCAGCCCTTGCCCTGGGAAAGCCCCCCACCCAATTTGGCAGGAGACACTGCTCTCAGACTACAGGACTACTCTTGTCCTAGAGAGCCCCCTAGTCCTGGTGGCTTGGCCTGGGAGTTCCGAGTTTGATAGGGGAGATGCAACCTCTGCTGAGGAAAAGCAAACCCCCAACCCAAGGACCTTCTAGCGTGGAAGCTCATTCTTCCCCACAGCCTGGGCTGAACCTGAAGCCACTCTGTGCCTCTTGCTGGCAGCATATCCAATAAATCCAGAGGGGTGGGCCCCACAGGGTCGCAGCCATGACTGCCCTCTGTCCTCTCTCTCCTCTCCATGCCTCACAACCTCCTGCCACCTCTGAGGCCCCACCCTGCCCTTCCCAGCGCCTCAGGCCTATGGCTGACCAGCCTGACCACAAGACCCATTTATTTCAGGTCTTTCCCTGACCCCTTCCCTCCCCCTCACTTCCTCAGGGACTCTGGAGACCTCTGAGGTGAAAACAAATAAGAACAAAGGGTGTGCTTTTGTCACTGACCCAGAGAATTTTTCCATCTCTGCTTAGTCAAATTTCTCTCCCTTTGCCCAAAATTGTAATTCCTCCCTGAAGACTGAGGCTCTGGCCTTTTTGCCTGAGCCTCCAGTCAGCTGAGTCTGCGTCCCTTTGCAGCTCAAGATGCACCCAGAAGCAGTGTGCTTAGTTGGTGCAGAGCCCTGAGTGTCTCATGGGCAGTTTCTGAGTCCTGTAAGCTCAGGGGCTGAGATGGTGAGCCTAAGGGGAAGTTGCTGGAGGAGGTGGGTGCCCTGGGCTCAGGGCGTGTACAGGAATCATGTTATACTTTGGGCCTCAGTTTCCCAAATGGGATAGAATCCCTGGGGCTCGGGTGACAAGTGGGAGGCAGGCCTGGCTAGGCCAGATGACCACGCCAGCAGGCATAGCCCCCTCTCCTATTAAAGGGTAACTGAAGTTTCAGGGCTCCCCATTTTCTGACTTGGGGAGTCCTTGCCTGAAACAGAACTAGGCAGAAGTGAAGTTTCTGAAGTTAGGCTAGCCCGTTATCCATCTTCTCGCTCTATTTTGGGGAAACAGACCCTGGGAAGGGTCCCACCAGAGTCACAGAATGAGTGAGTAGCTGAGATAGGCCCTGACCCCAGGCCCTGACCCCTAACCCAGTGTGCTTTCCCCTGTACCACATAACTAAGAGGCACGTTTGCTAAGACTCAAGGCTTATTAACTTGCTTAAATGGGTCAAAGCTGGGGCCCTGCAAGAGCTGAAATTCTCCAGATGGAAGGGAGGGTCTTACAGAGCAAAGGCACTCCGTGCCCTTTCCCTCCCCTTCTCCTCCCCGCCTTGGAAGTGGGGGAGGGGGACATCCCTTCTTTAACCAGGGAGCCAAGCTCCATTCAAGGCAATGCAGCCTCCTCAGGCCTGTTTGGCCTGGCAGCCACCCAACTCCTCCCAGCCAGGGGCCAGCAGTCCTGGAGGGGAGAGGGAAAGAGTCTAAGGAAGGTGGGGAGGCAAGGAGGAGGCAAGGCCTGAAGTCCAGAGGGTCCACCCAGGGTTCATTATGGGCCAATAACACTTCTAGTCACATTGTAAGTTTTCACTGGACACTGGAGAGACATGTGCTAGGATGACTGATGCCCAGACTCTCCCACCATCACAGGGGGAAGAGGGGCAGTTATCTCTTTCTCTAGGAAGCCAATGAAGGTAAGATAAAAATCATCCATGAACGTGTGTGTGTGTGTGTGTGTGTGTGTGTGTGTGTGTGTGTGTGTTTGGGGGAAGAGAAGAGGGAGGACAAATTGCAATAACAGTTGAGAAAAAAAGACTTATTTTCTTTGGTAAGGGTGCTGGGTGTTGGTGTGCCTGCCAGGGAAGAACCCAACCAAGGTGGGCAGCCTGAGCCGTTTTCCCTGTCTTCTTCCAGATTTGAGTCCTTGGAACAGGCTGGCCACTTGGTTCCAAACTCAGCCAGGTCTGCGGGTTTCCATGGTGACCAGGCTACAGTGACACCTGGCACTGCACTCCCCCCGCCCTACTACCACCTCCTCCAAGTACCTTTGCTCCAAAATCCAAAAGGGAAGAGGGAAGAAAAAGGAGATGAAGAGGGCGAGGAGTGACAGACTCCTTGCTTGGGGAGCTTGGGGAGTTACCCAGGAGCCCTGACTCCCAACAGGCATGCTGTGGAAAGAGCATGGATAGGAATCCCAGTTTCTCTAGTTACAACCTACACAACAAGTTATGGTATCTCTCCAAGCTATTTCCTTATTTATAAAGTGGGGATGATAAGAGTGATCTTACAGTCAAAATGAAACCACAAGTGAAATAGCAATGTGAAGCTGTCTGAGATGTGGTGTCTGCTCAGTAAGTACCCCATGTCCCTTCCTCTCACCAGCTCTAAGAGTGAGCAGGGAGGACTGAAAATCAGTCCTGCAGGCACAGAGGGGAACAGGTACCAGGACTCAGATTGTCACATTTAGGAAATAAAACTATAAAATGCCCAGTTAAATTTGAATTTCCTATGAGTGGCACTTTTTTTTCAGTATTTGTTGTTGATTTGACATTCAAATTTAACCGGGCATCTGGCAATCCTCTGGCAATCCTCCCTTAGAATCCAGTTTCATCAGCATAACATTCACCCACAGGATGAAAAGTCACTGGCCTAGGAATCCACATAATTTTCTTGTAAAGATTTATTTATGCATATAAGAACTGGGGTACAGACCAGGAATTCACATAATTTTTAAATACCTACCCATGATCTGGGGTTTTTCATATCTGGAATCTTACTAATCCTCCTAATTACAAGAATGCTTGGCCACATTCTGGCTACGTGGCCTTCAGAAAGTTGCCTAAGCTTTCTGCCCTCAGTTTTCTCATCTGTAAAATGAGACTAATAATGGTACTTGTCTCATAGGGTTGTTATGGGATTAAATGAATTAATTCATTTAGCACCATGCCTGGCAAATCATAAATGCTCAGTAAGTATAAACTGTTATTATTACATTTTCCTTCCTGGGGTTTAGAAAGTGCTCAGGGCCTGCCAGGTCCACAGCTCCTTTTCTGGCAATGTCTTCCTACCCAGGAGGTGAAGGAAGTGAAGCTGTTGTAGTTTGTGTTGTGAACAAGAAGGAAGTTCTCTGTCATGCTGTCAGACAGTAAAAGGCCATTTTTCTAGGAAATGACTAAACATGAATCTTGGGCCAAAAGAGATGCTCCACAAACATTATTGAAATGTATATGGAACCACAAAAGACTCCATATAGCCAAAGTGATTTTGCCAAAAAAAGAGAAGAGGAATGGAGGGATCATACTCTTAGACTTCAAACTATATTATAAAGCCATAGTAATCAAAACAGTAAGGTGTTAGACTAAAAATAGATACATAGACCAATAGGATAGAATTGAGAGCCTAGATAAAATAGTGTGGAGGCTTCACAAAATATTAAATAAAGGTCTACCATATGACCCAGCAGTTCTACTTCTTTGTAGAACTTTGGATAAATACAATCCAGAAAATGCAAAGACACTAATTTGAAGGTATATATGCACTCCTATATTCATTGCAGCATTACTTACAATAGTTAAGTTGTACAAACAAGTACCCAATAACAGATGAGTAGATTAAGAAGATGTGATATATTTATATGATGAAATACTACTCAGCTATATAAAAAAAGATAAACTCTTGCCATTTGTGACAACATGGATGGAACTAGAGGGGATTATGCTAAGCAAAGTAAACCTGAAGGGGAAAAGCAAATACTAGATGACTTCACTCATGGAATATAGAGAAACAAAACAAAGGGACTGACAAAAGTAAGCCAAAACAAACCCTAGAAACATAATTGCAGAGTTGAGGATACTAAAGGGGAAGAGTAGAGTGGGAATAGAGGGGGGGCCAGTTCAGTGGTGATGTTTGACCCTGGAAGACTGGATTTGGTCAAAGGAAGAGAAGGAGACGCAAGAGAGGAGGAAGAAGAGGGAGAAAAAAAAATCAAAATTACAGAAGGAAAAACACAACAGCAGAAACTGGAGTGTATAAAATGTGCAAAGATGAAATGTTCAGAACATGCAATACCATAGAGCCAGAAAGTAGGTTAGTGGTTGACAGGGTTGGGGGGAGTGGGGAGTGATTGCTAATGGGCATGGGATTTCTCTGTGGGGGTGATGAAAATGTTCTGGAACTAGACTGTGGTAATGGTTGCACAACTCTTTAAATATACTAAAAAACATAGAATTGTATGCTTTGAATAAGTAAATTGTATGGTATGTGAATTCTATTTCAATAAACTATTAAAAATATGCTATGGACAAAATAAAACTGATTGATGAATCACATCTTTGTTGAATAATTCTTATGAAAAAGAACTGAACACATCTTTGTTGAATAATTCTTATGAAAAAGAACTGAATCACATCTTTGTTGAATAATTCTTATGAAAAAGAATTTAATTACATCTTTGTTGAATAATTCTTATGAAAAAGAAATGATTCTGATGAAAATAACTTCAGTAAAATATAAGGGGAAAATGTTGACAATCATTTAACTGCCCTGCACAGAAAATTCATGAAAGAATTAAATGGGTTTGGTGGTGTTTGCCCTGGGAAATACTTGCACAATGAAAATTCATCAATTTAGGTATAATTCTGGTTTAAATGTCTGTGTTCACAAATAACGTCCTCAAGTCAAGAGCTCCTATTGCCCACTGCTTTCTCCTCCACTGCCCTGGGCAAGAGATTTCTGACCAAGCCCAGCCTTCGACTGCACCAGCATTTTTCAGGCCATGAAACTTCAAGACACTGGGGAATCTCAGCCTGGCTGGGTTTATCAGTGCTTACCTTGCTTTGCAAAGCGTCTCTTGCGCCTTATTTTGGCCCGGCGTCCAGTAAATAGGGCACTGACCCTCTCAGTCCAGGCCACCTGAGCATCAGTATCTGCAACTCCACATCGGGGCTGTGTCATCTGGTGCAGAGTGGCAGGGTCCAGTATGCCACTGACGGGCAGCTGGGACACCCATTGGAACTCCCTGTCAGAAAGAATTGAGAGGAAGGTTGAAAAGGGTGGTGGGGGTGGGGGGGTGGGGGGAGGGGGAACGGGGTGGGGGGTAGACAGAGGGGGAGTAGTAGTGTCCCTGGAGAGGCAGGGAAGGGAGGGAGGGAGCAATCCCCTGGACACCTGTAGGAGACCAACCTTCCAGCAGCAGGAGGTGACCCCAGCTTTGTACTCCAGTACCTCCAAGTGCTATATACCCCTCTGTCCTACCTGATGGCATTGCTGAATTGAGAGGAGGTGGGGTCTTTAGGGACCCGTGCATTGAGATAACCGTACTTCTCCAGGAATGCCTGGGGGAGAGAAGAACATCAGTTTTTCCCACACTGGGCATCTTTTGTTCTATCTCGGTCTCTGAGTGTGCAGAGCACAAACTTCATGCCCAGTTCCAACTCTTGTCCCAATATAAGGTCTGTGAGCTACAGCAGAAAGTGCCAGGATCAACACTGGAAGGACCTGAACTCAGTCCCAGGCTACCACTTACCAGCTGAATGGTTTTGGGCCAATCACTTGACATTTCTGAACTTTGGCTTCCTTATTTTTAAAACTAGCCAAGCAGTCCCTACCTTGCATATCTCATGGCACTGAACCCCAGTTAGCAAGCTACTTCTCCAAACCACAAGTTTCTTAACCGTAAAATGGGCTGAGAAACAGTCCCTACTGAATTACATCAAAGATCTACGAAGACCTTACACAACTCAACAAAAACAAAGTAAACAAACCAGTCAAAAAATGGGCAAAAGAGCTAAAATCTCACTTGTCCAAGAGGACATGCAGATGGCCAACAAGCTTATGAAAAAATGTTCTGTATCACTTATATCAGGGAAATGCAAATCAAAACAACATGAGATACCACCACACACCAAAAAGAATGGCACATATTTAAAAAAAAAACCTACAAATGCTGGTGGTGAGGATGTGGAGAAAAAGGAACCCTATTACACTGCTGGTGGGAATGCAAATTGGTCCAACCACTATGGAGAGCTGTGTGGAGGATCCTCAAATTATTAAAAATGGAGCTACTATATGACCCATCATTTCTACCACTAGAAATCTACCCAAAGGACACAAAAACATTAATTTGAAAGGAAACCTGTGCCCCTATGTTTATTGCAGCACTATTTATAATAGCTAAGATATGGAAACACCCTAAATGCCAAAAACATTGGATCAAGATGTTTCTTGATTGGATCAAGAAAATGTTAGGTATATATATGGAATGCTATAGTGGAAAACTACATAATGGAATACTACTCAGCAATCAAAAAGATAAACTCATGCCATGTGCAGCAACATGGATGGACCTGGAAGGGATTATGCTCAGTGAAAATAGTCAAAAGTAAAAAGAAAAAAATCGGATGGTTTCACTTATAGGAGAAATAGAGGGAAACCAAATAAAGGGTCAAAAAAAGGGGGGGGCAAGGTCCTCGCTGGTGGCGCAGGGGTTAAAGACAGAGCTATCAAGCCATTGCCAGCCCCTGCAGCATGAGTTAGATCCTTGGCCAGGGAGCAACCCACATGGCACAGCAGACCTCTCCTGCTTCACCCGCTGCTCCCCTCAGCAGTGTATTTCAGTAGAGCTGCCTGTTCTGCTCCCTACACTTCCTGGTGAATTCTCTCACTGTCCTCCTCCCCTGCATATCTGGCTTACACCTCAGTTCTTATATGCATAAATAAATAAATCTTTTAAAAAAGGGCAAAACTTGTAGGCAAATATAGATCTGAGCCTTAAAGCAGGGAAAGGGAGGAAAAGGGATCAAAACAGTAGACAGGGGCTTCCCTGGTGGCACAGGGGTTAGAGTTAGAGCTATCAAGCTATCGCCAAACACTGCAGCATGAATTCGATCCCCGCCCAGGGAGGTGACCCACATGGCACAGCAGACCTCTTCTGTCTTGCCCGCTGCTCCCCTCAGCAGTGTATTTTAGTGGATTCACTTGTTCTGCTCCCCACTCTGTCTCTGGTGAATCCTCTCAACCTCCTGCACCTCTGGCCTACACCCCAGTTCTTGTATGCATAAATAAATAAATCTTTAAAAAAAAACAAACAGGTGAGGGAAGAGTAAAGGGACCATGGTGATGGCACACAGGTGATGTGGTGGGGCGATATTTATGGAGACTACACCTGAGGGGAGAAATAAAATACTATACTAGAATGAACAGCAATGTAAAAAAATTTTTTTTAATTAATAAAAGTAAAAAAGTACAAAAGAGGGCCTCCCCGGTGGCGCAGCGGTTGAGCGCTGGGTTGCGAAGCTGCGCGCGGCCTCTGCGGCGCCGGTTCGATCCCCGGCTGCTCCCCGGCCACCAGAGGAGGGTCCCACATGGCGCGCAGACCTCTCCTGCCGCCCGCTGCTCCCCTCAGCAGTGTACTTCGGTCCTTCTGCCTGCTCTGCTCCCCGCTCTGGCTCTGGTGAATTCTCTCGCCCTCCCGCGCTTCTGACTGTACCCAGTGCATGTATAAACAAAACAAACAAACAAACCAGCAAACAAATAAATAAAGCATGCCTCTATAAAAAAAAAAAAAAAAGAAAAAAAAAAAAGTACAAAAGACACAATCCCTATCTTACAGGATTTTTGTGAGGAAGTACCACAATAATGAATCTACTTAGGACAGCACCTGCCACTTCAAAGGAGCTCTACACAGAGGCGCTATTATGTAAATATACACCACTCATAGGCCTCAGCTTGGCTCCTGAAACATCTCACCTCTCTGGCAAATTTCCCTGGATTGATCAGGAGTTGAGCTGGTGATGCACCAGCTCAGCCATGCCCGACTGGGAATTAATTATCACTCTAATTCTGGCTTCCTAAACAGTTTTCCTCCCCCTACAATGCAGATATGCAGATATATATGAGATCCTAAGAGTCACCAGTGTACTTAACCTCAACCTTGCTGTTTATCTAAAAACCTGATTCTCCGGAGAAATATTTTGTTAGAGACCTGCCTCTTGCCCCTTTGATTCATTCATTTGTAAATTCATGCAATGTGCTGGACACCTGCCAGCTGCTATGGTCAACAAGACACTCCCAAAAGAGCTTATAAGTTTGTGGACAGAGACAAAACAGAACAAACAAAAACAAAAGAAAGAAAAGAAACCAGGTGATATGATTGAGAATAACATAAAGAAACTTCACATTGGGAGGGCCCTCTGAAGATGTTTGACCTGAGTCCTAAAAAATGAGAAGTAACTGGCCCAGCAGAAGTGGGGAAGGATGTTCCAGGCAGAGGGAGCTGCAAATGCAAATACCCTGCGCTGGGAATGACCTTGATGTGTTTGAGGAACAGAAGCAAGGTTGGAGCAGGGCACACTATGAAGTCAGAGAGAGGGCCAGGAAGATCAGGCAGGGTAAGGAATATGAGTTCTATTTTAGGCCTGATGAGGAATCAGAATTGTGGGCAATGAAAGAGAGGGAGGCTGGTAGCGTAGGGGTTAAATCTCAGCTTTATGGCCTGAGGTTTATCCCTAGCCAGGGAGCTAACCCACATATGGCACAGCAGACCTCTTCTGTCTCGCCCACTGCTCCCCTAGCAATGTATTTCAGTAGATACCCCTGTTCTGCTCCCCATTCTGTCTCTGGTGAATCTCTCTCTCTCTCTCTCTCTTTCTCTCTCTCTCATACACATACATACACACACACACACACACACACCCCTCTGGCCTACACCTCAGTTCTTCTATAAATAAATAAATCTTTAAAAAAAAAAAAAAGCTAGAGAGAGGGAGGAATCTGGAAGAGCTCCTAATAATTTTTAAAGGATTTATTTTATTTATTTATGCATACAAGAGCTGGGGTACAGGCCAAAGGTGTGGAGGGGTGAGAGGAATCACCAGAGACAGAGTGCGGAGCAGAACAGGTGGACCTACTGAAATACACTGCTGAGGGGAGCAGCAGGCAGACAGGAGAGGTCTGCTGCACCATGTGGGTCAGCTCCCTGGCCGGGGATCGAACTTGTGCTGCAGATAGCTTCATAGTGCTGAGCTTTAACACATTGCACCACCAAGGAGGCCTGAGCTCCTTGGTTTTTTTGCCTTGGAAGGTCATGCCCTTTACTGTTTGAGGAAACCTGAGGATGGGTGGTGGCAGTGCAGATATGATTAATAGAGTGATGTCAAATGGCACTGGCTATGTGATTCTGGAGCTCAAGGGTGAGGCCAGACTCTTTCAGTGTGTAGGTGATGCAAAGCTGTGGGGCTGGATGAGATCCCCTGGGGAAACAGTGTAACTGGAGAATATCCTTTGGTCCAAAAGCCTTTAACTCACTCTCTGCCCTCCTACACTTCCTTGGAGGCCAGTGGAGAGATGTGGGGCATGACACTGTTCCTTACCTATCACCGTGATGAACTTGCCTCCCTGCTTGTCCTCCTGGCTATGTCACCTATGCAGAAGAAATGTTCTGTTTTCTAAGTTATCTCACTCTCACTTGTCTTTGTTGTCTTTCAGTGAACTCCAAACATAGCTGCTGCCTCAAGAAAAAGGTACAAGTTGGGAATAAAACTAAATACCGAGTCAGGATTGGCAGGTCCAAGGCCTTTGCAAGGATTCAGCCTCCTCTTTCTGGATTTCATCTGTCTTTAGCAACCTCCACAATCTTCCCAAGAAAGCCACTTTCCACTTTCAGGGTTGGAAACAGATTATTTTAGATAACAGAACCCAAGTCTGTATTGTATTTCTGCATTAACTTGTTAGAATTTCAAAACTATTGTTCTTTTTTTTCCTTTGCAAATGTAAGCCCTTTTGCGTTGCATAATGGATTAAAGGGGTTCTAGTGGTTTAATCTGGAAGATTATTTAGGCTCAAAATAGCATGGCAATAAGGAACAGCCCTGGGCTTCACATCAAGAATCTGTTTCCAACCCTGAAGCTGCTGGGTGGCCAGGGACAAATTACTTAGCCTCTCTGTGTCTCCTTTTCTTTGTCCACACTGTGAGAGCAAGAATTACCCCCAAGGAATTCTCAGGTGGATAAAATAAAGCAATGCACATCTAGCCCAGCTGTCTAGTACATAGTTGGTGTTCCATAAGCAGGTCTAGTTCGTTTATTTATTTATTTATTTACTTACTTACTTATTTATTTATTTATTTATTTATTAAGATATTATTTATTTATACAAGCACTGGGTACAGTCAGAAGCGTGGGAGGTTAGAGAATTCACCAGAGCCAGAGCGGGGAGCAGAACAGGCAGAAGGACCGAAGTACACTGCTGAGGGGAGCAGCGGGCGGCAGGAGAGGACTGTGTGCCATGTGGGACCCTCACCGGGCAGCCAGGGATCGAACCAGCGCTACAGAGGCTG